GCGTTGTATTTTTTGTCAACTTACGTCCATTTGGTTCTATTATCAAGGATTTCAGTTCAAGAAGATTACCAGTTTCTTTATTAAGGAAATATGAAAAGATTACTCTTCGTTTGAACAAAGCCGAATTGGATTTTAATTTTTTACATATATATATATATATATATATTGTCTTTATAATGTTCTCTACATTATGTATGATTTTGTTATACTGTATACATATTTATTATGCAATTCTTGTATTATAAAAAAAAAATCTTAGTGTACCTAATTTATATATATATATATACTCTGTGCATTTATTTACTTAAATTACGTATCTCTTGTATTATAGTGACATTTTCCCAATTGTTTACTCCTCCACCTAAACAACATTTATAATTGTTAAAATTTGTGGTTCAGAGAGTCCAAATTTTCATAGCATCTCAGTGGTGAAGCTAGCCTTAGTGCAGCTACGTAGCACAAGGCTAAACCTCACCACAGGAGCCAAAGTCCCAGGGAAATATTTCATTACAAAATATGAATTAAATTTTATTGTTTTCTGCAACTGAATAATACTTTACAGAAGCCAAAATTATCTGTACTCACTGTGGTGTATTCATTTTAAGGGATTTTCTAATAAATAATCGTTAAAGTAAAAAAATAAAAGTTGTTCTCTTTGTAACGATAATAAGTTTACTGCATAGAGTTACAATAAGAATACTAGAGCGCTAACTCCAATGCATTCGATGTTCGAAATATGCAGAGCTGTGTGTGTGTGTGTGTGTACCCACCACAATGCTGCTGCTGATTCAGCCAATCATAATATGCCTAAGCATTGGCGCCTCAATGTAACATGAAAGTTCGACAGACATGTTGAAGCTCAAGCGGTGTAGCGTACATGAATTTGATTTTCGATACTTTTGTACTTATTTTTAAAACAGGTACAGTACTTTATTCGTCTTTCTCGCTACGCTAGCTTAATAATTTATTAATATTAATAATAATGATTAATGAAATAATAGTTAGTTAGAAGGCTTATTTATTATTATATATGCTAAGCCTCAAGGTTGCGCTTTCCTACGGCTGCTATCTTGTGGAGTACGCATAATCACAACTCTGCATTGCTTCGTCGCCTAGTCAGTACTCTAGTTGCCTAATAGCTCTATGGTTTATATGGTCATATTCTTTAAAATAGCACCATGTTATGAATGAAAAGGTAACTTCCCCATTTGTTTTTTAATAAATAGTTCACCAAAATTAAATGCTTTTATATGTTCTGTTGAACTGCTTGCCAGAATTACAAGCCTTTTTTTTTATTAAACATTTATGCTGCTAATCTTCATTGGTGTTACAACTTTCCTTTTGCATCTGTTTTTTCCAGCTAATTTTTCCCAGGATGAGATTGGTGATCCGATACTAGATGTTGTACTGGAAGCTGGAGACCTTCTTTACTTTCCTCGAGGCATTATCCATCAGGTAGGTTTAACTGCGATTCTTCAATTTAACACCAATATTCAAATTTAATTCAATTTTGAATGCTGAAGAATAGATATTATTCAATTGGTTATCAAAAAACAAATCTTGTATTTTATCATATAAAATGTTTATTAATTAGGTCAACACCTGTGACAGTGATAATAATAATGATAATGGTACTATTAGTATTAATTAGAATAATAATTATACAATAATGATGGTAATACTAATGACATTGTTTATACTAATAATAACAATAGATAATAAAAACATTTGCAATGACTGTAGTTAAGGTAAAGATAAGGCTCATGAAAAAGTAAAGGTAATAATGATAATATTAATTAATTCCGATGGAAAAACGTAGGCCTACTGTGCATTCGTACTACAACACGTCAGGTAGGGCAAGTATCAATTTGTAATGTTAATAATTATAACAAATGATAAGAATAATAATTTTTATTGATTGGCAGGCTGACACACCTGAGGATAGTCATTCTCTTCATATGACAGTTTCCACCTATCAAAGAAACACCTGGGGAGACCTACTAGAGAAGATGATGCCACAAGCGTTAAAGATTGCATTTGCTGAAGATCCCGAGTTCCGCAAATCATTACCACGGGATTATACGCAATACATGGGGGTTGCAAACTCGGAATCAGTAAGTGCCAATACCATCCGTTCATTTGTCATTGTTTATTCTGTTTTTTTCTATGCCATACTCGCCTTCGATGCTTTGGACATCTTCAGCATTGTCAGGTGGACAAGCATGGTTTTCACGAGCAGGAATTGCTCACTGAAGACTCGATCTCAATCCAGAAGTATTAGTGGAATTAGCAACAGAGATGATGATTTTTCATCCAATTTGTCGTCTTCTCTTACTGTTATGATAATATAATCTATGTAAATTTTTGCCTTATTCCAATCTTCTTTGCTTTAACAAAGTAATCAATATTGTTATTATTATTATCAACTTTGTTTTTTTCACTTTCCCCATTCACTTTTGTCAGTTATGTGTTCCCCTAAGTGTGGTCGGTATAATCATCATGGATATATATTTTGAAAAGGTTAAAAAATCAATGTGGTATTAGCTGTGCTCAGAAAAATTTAACAGAGTTGTGCTGTTCACTTTGCATTTTTCTGCTGGTGAAAAACAGCAAGATTATTCTTCCTGGGCAAAGTTTGCTCACTCAAACTTATCGTGTGCAACTTGGGTAATTTTACCTAGGAGAATTTTAACAAGCCTGTGTTGACAAAATAATTTTGAACCAAACAACACTTATGCTTATATGCAATATGCTTGGAGAATGGGGAACGTAACGCAAAAAAAACGGCGCAAGCAACAGATTCTTGTAAATTGTTATCTGCTCAGACTGCAAAGGGCATCACATGTGAAAATGGATTCGTCAACCGACGGTCATACAATGCAGCGTGCTACTGGCATTACACTCGCGTCTTTTCATGCAACAATTTTTGTTGTATTTAACAGAATGATCCTAACCAGTTGCATTTCATTCAACATGTTGGTCACCTGATTTCCAAGTTGATAGCATATGCTCCTGTACATGGAGCAGCTGATCAAATGGCTGTGAAATTTTTACATGATAGTCTGCCGCCAATGATTAATAGAGGTAAGTCCACTCACTTGTTTATCAGTTTCCAAAAACAAGCCTCCCTCCAATTTTGGGACCGACCACTTTTGGGACCGACGTTTCTATGGTCTTTAGCTTAATTAGTCTCTAATTAGAATAATAAAGATAAAAGGCATTTGGTAATTTGGAACCACAGAAATTTGTCTTTAATTAGAGTGCTCTTTAATTAGAAGGGGACCTGTGCATTTCATGATAGTTACTGTATATGTGATAGTTATAGTTATCAAGTAGCATATAGAAGACCAAGATTCTAGATTGTCGAAATTTAGGCCTATAAATAATTGATTTATCACTGTCATCAGACAAAGGAGCCCAATGAACAATTGTTGACTTTATTTGTACTTATGTCATATTGTTACCAACCAAATAAATATTGAAATTGAATATAGAATACTGTATGTGGTAAAAACTATTATTTCCAAGGTGTAAAAGAAGGATACATTTTAATACACTCGATGCTTCTTTAATAGTACTTGTGGCCAGGCCATAAATATTAGGAATGCTGAAAATAGGTATTGAATGATTGAAGCTTTGGTTTATTTTCTTTTTTATGTTGGTGTTTTATAACTGTAGTATTTTATTCTATAATCATTAGGCATCGATTTTCTCTGCTTCACTAATTTATTTCTTTTTTTATTTCCTTTATTTTACGAAATGTATGAAAATCTTGCTAACTCACATCAGTAAAATTCCTCTCTTGATCGTTCGTGGTTGGGGATACATATGGTATGAATCATGTCTAGTGCTTTTATTTGCTTTCAATGTGTCTACTTGGTAAAAAATGGGAAAGTAGTAGCTGTTTCCCATCGACCATCTTGGATTTGCCATCTCAGACTAAAAGAAAAAAAAAGAAAAAAAAATGCCCTCATTCTCCTTATTTTTTCAAAATATTAGGCCTAGAAACTTTTTTTTTTTTTTTTACTTGACCTTATATATTTGCATCAGATGAAAAGCCGCTGTCTGTATTTGGTGCTGGAGCCCAGTGGCGTAATGGTAAAGTTGAAGACGAACAGCAGATATTCACTATGTCAACACAGATAAAGCTAATAAGGAGGACATGTATAAGGTACAGTCTGTATTTTATTTATTTAATTTTATCCCATTAGGCACATATCCAAGGATTGTCAATAGCGACTTAGTCACTGTCCTATTAGATAGTTGACAATCCCTTCACATGACAAACATAAATGCATGATGCTCTAGATGGTCTCATAATAAGGCTTATGGAGTGGAGTTGTTTTGTTGTGAGAAAAATATCCTGGAACCTGAGAGGATTTGAACCCAGGACCCTGGGATATGAAGGCGAGCGTCTTAACTACCAGGCTATTCAACGCCACTCATTATCATCAACTATCTTTGTACATCATTTGAATATTTATATCTAAATCTAAATATAGAAATATATATATAGCGTTTTTTGCCAATCAATACAAAACGCTTGGATATGTGGACTAGGAACTTGATCAATGAATTCCTTCTCCCTTAAGGGTCCCTTCGTGTCTTGCTACTCGGTAATCAGGTGCAGCTCTCGTCATCCACAACAAGGGCTGTTTGTACCAGTACACCGGGGTATTCCCCTGCTCGTCTCAAATAATGTACTGGGTTCTTGAAAGTGCACATGAGCCAAAGTGTACACTGGGCCTACGGTTTATAGTCCTTATCCTAAAAGACTTGTTCTACCACCAGAGCCATAGGCGAGTGTGCCATTCGAACCAGCACCAATTTTATAGCTGTAGGTTGCGACGCCCCTGCTAACCCCTCAGCCATTCGACTCGCCGATACTACCCAGCATCTCAGACCATTTACCTTTTAACACTTATTTTAAATTATTATCCACATCATCGACTCGTACATGCATCCTCATATTTTTTATCTAGGGTAACTAATACAGTGACATATCTAGAAATCTTAAAATGGGGGAGGGGGAGCAAAAATTAGGTGGGGTTCGATGATTAAGTGAGGGCCACTAGCTCGCAAAGTAGGGTGATAGGGGATTTTTTTTCTTTGAACATTTTCAATGAAGGAGGGGGAACAAGCTTTTTCTGGGACCTCTAGATGTGTCACTGAATTAAATAGCCTCTCATCATCTATCCTTTTATACTTTTTTCTTACAATCATCTTCTTTTAAATGTAATAATTTTCTGTGACTTTTTTTTTTTATAGATTAGTTATGGAAGATGATGCTGTTTTAGTGTATTATAACTTGGACAATGCCAAAGTCTATCACGGAAAACCCCCGCAAAGTTTTGAAATACCCGCGGAAGTGAGTATCTGCACCTAGCTACTAAGAATATTACAATCTCTTTTCTTTATGTTTGTTGTCTTGTCTTTAATTTGTCTTCTCGTATCTTTTACTACAGGCTGCTCCTGCTGTAGAATGTTTGCTGAAAGCCTATCCTGAATATGTTCCTATTAAGAGCTTACCAGCAGCTGGGGAGATGGAGGATAAGGTATGCTATTATTTAGTTGGCATTGGTTATTGTTACACCAGTTTTAAACCAGTTCCTAATTCCGATTGGTTGCCACCATCATCATCATCTTTTAGAGTCACTTTTCCCTGCATGCTGATTGGCTGTACATTTACCTGTAATGTGGGTGTATCCTGCGAGTCAAGGTGGTGCGCTCAGCGGCAACTTCTGGATTGTGGTTCAATCTGCAGAAGTTCCCCCCCCCCCACAACATCCCGCCATGACTTAAGTGGTGACCTCGTAAACGCGGTCCATCAACATCAAATTCTGTGAATCGCTTTGGCAATGTGTCAACCTCACTACGTTGAAGATGGCAATATTAGTAACTATGGCAAAGCACATGTGCAATTGAGTAAATATTTAAACTGTTGAGAAGGTTTTTTTTGTTGGTGTTCCATCAGAGATTTGTGTTGGGCAAATCCAGTACAATTGTTGTTATATACAGTAACATCCAATCAGATTTAGGAATTGGTCTAAGATTGGTGTAGCAATAGCCACTGCATATTTTGGTACAGTGCACCCTCCAATTTGAGACCCATCTAATTCCGAGACACCTCTAATTCGAGACCACTTTTTCAAAAAACCAAATAACAATCCTCAATCTGTTAGCACTAAGCTAATTCTCTATGAGGAGCACAAGTCGAATGGCGGAGTGGTCAGGCGGGGCGCTGCTAACAACAGCCATAACATCAGCGGTGGTTGCAGCCGCTCTTTGCCCAGGGTTCAGTTGGTGGAGCAAAGTCTTCTCAGATGACTTAAAATGGAGGCACAGTGTATACATCTGGCTCATGTGAACTTTAAAGAACCCATTGCATCTTTCAGCAGAGAAGGTGGTTACCCCGATGTGGCTCATTTCAGTCCCTATTGTTGTGGAATAATGTGAACATATAGCTATGTATATACTATAAGTGCCTCTTTACGGCTGCTGAGTAGTCACGGACCACTCCCATACACAATTCTGCACAATGACGCTGCAAGTTATGGGTTATTCTCCTACCTTTACCTCTTTTTTTTTAACCGAACCCCGAGACCATCCCAGATTTCCAGGTCTCAAAGGTGGTCTCGAACTGGAGGGCAAATTATATTTCCATATTGTATGCCTATTTCTTACTACAACATTACTAGATGATTATATTTTATCCTCATTTAACAAAAATATTGTTCTCTTTTCAGCAAATTGAAATAGCTCAGGTTCTGTTTGAGAAAGGTATATTGTTACTGGAGGACACCAGAAAGATTGTATCATGAAAACATTCAAGAATCAACTATCAAACACCCCATTTGCACTATAAGAGTATTATCTAATATGTACTATAATCCCAGATGGCACTGTTCTATTTTTCTGAGTTTGCCTTATCAAAATGAGCCAAATCATTTACTGCTATGTCATTAAGCTTGGAATAATGCAATCAACAGCTGGTTTGGGGAATTTATCAGATCAGAAGAGGTGTTGAAACCAAAGAAAACAAATCAAATTGTACATGCAATAGATCATAAGAATATTCCTTTGTAATATTTTTCACCAATTTGTTTTTCTGCACCATGATTATAATTCACTTTGATAAATTTATCAACACAAAACCAGTTAGTGGTGTTTCTAGGGGTGCTCAAGTTTGGGTGGGGGTTGATGGGGGCATGAAGGTGAAGTGGGAGGGCTTATTGTTAAAGTAAGGGGGGACTAAATGTCAAAGGAAGGTAGTATAAAATTATTTTTAACTACTTAATTTCCAGTTTTTTTCGGGGGGGGGGGGGCGGGGGGGGGGGCAGGGGTGGTAATGACTTACAAGGCTTTTCTTGGCTGGAGGAGGGAGCTTGCACACCCCTAGATAGTACACTGAAAGAAGTTGGGTGTACATACAATGATTTGTTTATACAGTTCACTGTTTATCAGAAACCAGTGGGATATTTTAAGAGTGAAATTGGACCACTCTCTTTCCGTAATTTATATTTATTGTACAATAATTCATTATATATCATCAAGTTATGAGACATTGAAAATTACTTTCTCTTCTAACATTTAATAATGAGTCTGTTGAGTTGATTTTATAACTTAAAACAAAAATACAATATTGAGTTGCCTACGTGTGTATATTTAATCAGTCATCTGTTTTCAATTAAAAACAAAATTAATTTCCTCACCAAATACCAAACAATAGTAGCAATATTCTTGTATATATATATATATATATATATATTCTTTTAATAGGCCCTTAAATTGTTTGGTAATCAGTAAAGTATGAAGATTCTGCTACGATTAATTTACCTTTGCAACTTAGCTGAAATCAAGTAGTTTCCTGTAGCACTTGCAGTCGTGTAGCTACTAGCAACCGTAGAAGCAATTGTCTACAACTACAGGTCACCCCTCTAATTCTGAGACCCCTCTAATTTGAGACTACTGTTTTGAAAAACCAAATAACAATCTTCAATCTATTAATAATAAGCTAATGCTGTATGAGGAGACCTAAGCCCCCGGAACCAAACTGTAGTTGCCATGCAACGCTACCCTAAATTGATACAATTTTAGTGTACACAGTTAATAGACTAGAGTCACTATTGTCACGTGTGCTTTGACAATTGGCAAATGAAGCGTTAGAATTTATTTGCGTTAGGCAAAGTCGACTTCGGCAAGATTAACTGTATTCCATCTAGACAGTACATCTATGAATGTCTCTCCTTGGAGCCCTCTATTTCAAACTCGTTGATTCGCCAATGTTGATGTCACTTAAGTCGAGTCGCAAGAGCAACATAAGCTTGGCTTACAGCTGCAAATACTGAACTGCTTTTAATATCCATCTATCACTGGACGTCCATAACTTTTTGATCTTTTTAAATAATAACCAATTCAGCATTGTGTTATATGTTCTATAGGTTTGTTTTGTTTTTTTTAGATTTAATCATAGACTGTTCATCTTCCCTTAGTATGTACTTTATTATTACAAACATAAATGTACATTTTCATTGTTTTTTTATTAATTTTAAATAATCTAGCAAAATATTTGCTAATTTACTATCTTTTAATTGCCAATAAAAGGATAATAAATATTATTTGTTGTTGATGTTTTGTTTGCTTTATTTTTTTTATAGTTTATTTGAAATACGGGAAATGCTAATTCTTTTGCACTGGAAATGATAATTCTTTTGCACTGCATTTATATAACTGCAGTTGTTTGGGCAGCTAATCTGAATACATTGGCATTCTAACATTGTATCACTGGGTAGACGGAGACCAGTAGCGGACGTACAAGCTTCAAAATACGATTTTTGGGTAAAAACGTGTAAAATTTGCCTTTTTTTAGGTCAAATTTGGCACTTTAAATCCCAAAGTCAGCGTGGCAACAGCCCATTCCGTTTGAGCCAAGAGCTGGTGATAAGGATTCACCTTGTTGCCAGCTTTTAACAAATGATGAATATTTTGAGCACTTTCAATCTGTCCATCATGGGTTATTTCCGGGCGTCTTGAAAACAAAAATTTCGCACCCCCAGGGTAGTGTTGTCTATCGCTTTTCCCGCCCTCTTTCGAACATTTTTTGGATCCGCCCCCTGCAAAAGAGTTTTTTTTATCTTCGTGTAGGCCTAATGCAAGTAGACACATGCCCCTGGGTCGTAAGTGTCATCAAGTTACCGAATTAGGTACGAGCCAACTCGGTGCGCTCGTACGTTTCGAGGTGCTCGCATCAAACTCGTAGATGACAAAACCGCCGACGAGTATCCAGATTAGTGTACGAGCAAGGTGGGAGTACCACCCCGAGTACTCTACGAGTTCTTAGAGTTTACCACGAGTTATCTACTCGTGGCGCTAATTTTGAAAAATTTCTTCTCGAGCTTTCCGAATCGTCCTACGAGTTTTTGCCGAGTTAGCAACTCGGCAAACCCTCGTAACTCGTGTGCGGAAAAACCCCCTAGTGGGAGAGGGGATGCTTTGTCTACATTATCAAATTTCATTTTTAAAAAAAGCGTCGCATATAATGTAATGGAACATAAGAGCTAAACACGTTCAACTTTTTTTGATACAATTTGATATGTGATATATGGGCACATGACATGTTTTTGTCACATAAAATTTGATAGTGTAGGCAAAGATTTATGCTGAATTATGTGGAAAATCGAGGTTTACTTGATTTATATACTTCGATATTTTTATCAGTTTTCACCTTTGGGTTACATGCATTATGAGGATGTGTCGTTTGGGAGTATTCGGTTCAAAATATATTAATATATTACTGCAGCTAGTATCCTGGCCTGTGATTGGGCATAATGATGATAATGTTATACCGAACTACTTGGGTTATTTACATTCCCACCCTAAGCCAATAAGCAATACCCCCAGGCAGAACCAATTACTGATAAATAGAACATAGAATTTGAATACTGACATTGAATGAGAAGTTTACGTAAACAATACATATATACATGCATTGAGTTTCCTTATGATATGATCAATATTTCCCCCGTGGCAGACAGTTATCAAAAACAGCCCCAGATACTTGTCTAGAAACCCTTTCCACCATTGAATTCTTGATTACTATTTCCCTAGCCTCAAGCCATTTTTTAACACGAAAGTTATCACAATCTCTTTTGTTTTAGAAACATTCAATTCTAAGAAATTTACATTACAATATTCCACAAGTCTGTTTATTTCCTGTACATATCCAGAATCATCATCTCCTTTTATCAACCCAGCGAGGGTAGTAACGTTTCATCAGCAAATTTTTTGCCAGTTCTGTAATCGACAGTATTTACTGGATAGAGGAAGGGAGCTAACACTAAGCTGCTCTGTGGCGCGCCGGCATTAGTAAACATTAAATCTGAAATAACTCCTGAACTTAAGTCTAACAAACTGACTACGGTTTACAAGAAAATTAATATAACATAGGTGTGTGTGTGTGTTGGGTGTGGGGGGTGTTAAAAGGCAAAATAATGAAAAACAACAATGCTGCGGGAAGCAACAGCTAAAAAGTAAACGTAAGTAAACAGTCAGAAATTAAACCAGAGCTTTTCGGAAAACAGTAGTCCTTCCTCAGTGGCCAATGAGTGAGGGTAGAAAATGCCAGATAGTTGGGAGTCATGCAAGCATGATTAGAAACATTAGGCTAGGTGAGATATAGGGCAGTGAGAGAGAATAAACAGCGTGAACATGGAGTGATCAAGTGACCAAAAACTAAACTTTAGACTAGAGAGGCACGCCTCTATAAATAAGTCAAATGCTCTATATAGATAAATTTGGAATGCCATTAGATTAATTTACTGTGGGAGCACGTTGAGTTAAAACGGTGTGGTGGTTTTAAGTAAACGTTGACAGTGTCAATTGCTGGGATACTAGAAGGGTAATATTTATCCGTCGGGGGAAAGGAGAAGGTTTCGTTGGAGAATACCATATCAATATTAAGAATATACCCCTCACATCATGAATAATTCATTGTGATCGTGGAAGCAATCTCGACTTACACTGAAAGCCTGTTTACCTCGAAAATACAAAAATTATGAAGTCATTTTACAGTAGCTTAATACCTATAAAATAACTAATACAATTCACAAAAACTTCGTCAATTATTCTTAGCTTCCAAGGGGTTTCGTCCCCTCGAGCCTCACCGGGGGCCCCCAGCCTAGATGCTCGCTTCGCTCGCATACTGGATTTATTACCTTATGAAATGCTCCCCCCCCCCCAACACCACTTTCAAAAACGTTCTGCCTCCTTTGCGTAATATCAGTTGTAAAGTAATTGATCATAGGTGAGTTTTGGTGCGATGCGTCATCAATATGATCTATCACAATACCCTCGGCCTTGGTCTGAAATTTAAAAAAATAAACGGCAAATGGATGTGTAATTTTTCGGAACTGTTTTCCGCGTGTACGTTATCGTCTAGACTGCTATTGCCTTTTGTTTCATATTTAAACAACAACATGATCTTCGGCGTACAGGGCATATAATGTAAAGAGTGGGAGGAGGAACTCGACTGCACAATCCTCTTAACTCATATTTATTTTTCAGATTTTCGGACGGATAATTATCTTTCCGAAAATCTGTCAAATCATTAAAAATTGTAATGTTTTCAAATTGTTTACCTGGCTTTATTGATTTGGGCCGCAGCCCCGTAGCTCGTTTATCGGGGGTGGGGGCACAAAAATATTCCGAGGGGCATTAGTGGCACTACGGGGAGGGGGGATTTCCCCAGAAAAAGTTTTGCCCCTCCCCCACCCCAGTAAAGAAGAAAAACCACAATTCATCAGGAAGAAAAAAATTAATGTATTTTCTACATAGGCCTACTGGTAGATTATCTACCGGTATATGTAAAATTTATTTACAAAAAGAAAAAGTAGGGGGAAAGTACCAAGAGTTTCAACACCCACTTCAGCATGCACCAAGGTTGGGACTAAGTATAAAGTAAGGATATAGCTACTCTAGATTCCTAAATTTAAATTTAAATTGTTTAATTTAAATAAATGTGTAATTGTCAATATAAAGTTTATTTATTTAACAATTTTGATAGTAAGTGGGGAAAAATAGTAGAAACAATGTGCAGACTGTGTTAGATAAATAAGCCTATTATAAGTTAATTATTAAGCCACTTTGTTTTTAAGCAGGATAATATGTATGTGTTTCATAAATGTATTGGACCAATTAAAAAAAAACTATATTCCTGGAAATTGTTCCCCAATGCGGTTTCAAAATGGTCTTACTTTGACAGTAGTAATGCACAATTATTATTTATTATTAGCCTATTATGAAAAAAATTCTAGAATCTTTTCGGCGATTTTATGAAATTCTTGAATTTAATGAGCGTTTCTTTTGAAAATGGTAAACTGATTTTTGTGCAAAAATCAACGGATGCATCCCCTAGGTCGTAGGAGCACGAATCCGTGATTATCCAGGCCACATCTTGAGGATTGGAATAGGGTTTATTTAAACACAGCAGATATTCCGTCATTCTTTGAGGAATAATATATAAGGGATTGTCTTCCGGATTCGGTGTACTGCCTAATCAAACCAGAAGGACCCCACTGAAAAGTCTAGAGTTATGACCTTTTCAACAACAAAGTGATCTGACTTTGTATGAAGAAAGTCAGTGTACAGGCAGTATGTAAAAGGAACTCGATGGCACAATTTCCTTTGCTCATATTTCCTTATCTGTCCAAATAATTGTCGAATCATTAAAAAATATTTCACACCGTTTACCTAGCTTAATTTGACTTTATCTATGCCAATTTAAAGTATACTGACTTTATCACTGAGGTCGGCGTACAGGTTAGTTTAACAGAAGAGGCTAAAATTCAGCGATTATATTATATCTCTACGCCAACTCTCAAAGATGTCGGCCTATCAGTCTGTAAAATTCATTTTTTACTTCCTTCACATTCAACAACATTGCAACAAGTAGGCATATAGGCTACACTCGCCAATGATGGAACGATTATTTGACGGGAATTGAACCCAGGACCCTGGGATTAGAAGGCAAGCATCAGCCCCATTCCCGGCAAAATTTAAATAAAAAAGATTTTTCTTTTTAGAAAAAATGCATATGCATTACTCTATTCATTATAAACAATGGGAAAATATTGGCATGAATTTTAGTTTTACGCAAAAGAATTAAAAAAAATGAGAAATACAGACTACTTCTCGACGAATTCTTCGTTACCAGGCAAATTCAGAAGTTGTAAATCTCATCCGCTGGAATGCTCTCTCTTTTATGTATACTGTACAGTACCGTACTTTATACAGTCAATAAAGTGCACCCTCTCTAATGAATTTGGTTTTTGTACGTCGGAGAACCTGGAGTGTAGGTGTGGTTTTTTTGGGGTTTTTTTCCCAAAATTCTTAAAGAAAAAAAAGAGAAGAAAATTAAATTAAAATTTGAAGTCTGAGAGTGACATTTCCGACCAACTAGAGGTGCCATAATCATAAATTTTCTTGTCTCAGCCCTAATATGGTGGTATTTCCCCTATCTTTGAAAATTGTTGTCTGGCCCCTTCTATTTCAGAAATACCGGGATGGTGTCCGGCGGGGGATAGTTTCTACCATTTTTATCTATTTAAGTAATTGTACAGTATTTTTTCCTACCTGGTAATCCCGGCCCCGAAACCTTGACTCAGAAATACCGGGTTGGTGTCGGCGGGGGATAGTTTTTAGCATATTGTAGTTAAGTTGTAGTTAAGCATAACCTTGAGCCGTAATTCCTGGCCCAGGAAACCTTGACTCAGAAGTACCGGGTTGGTGTCGGCGGGGGATAGTTTTCCAACAAAGTTTTAACTGTCGTTTTTTTGTTTTTGTTTTTTTTTGTGTACTGTGCTGGTTAATTTTTGTTGTTATTGTACTATGTGTTTGCAGGACCATATTGTAAAACAGTGGTGTAAGATATCGCCTGTATATGTTCTCCTGCCTAAAGATGTTTTAAATAAAATAAAAAAATAAGAAAAAATAAAAATTTCAAATTCACCGCCATAAAAAAAATGGAAATACACAACTAATGTCGACCCGCCACTGGTCTCAACAAATCGGAAATGACCTCAGCTTGAAAATGTTGAATACCAGGGCTTTAAGCCTACTAGTTGCATCTTGATCCACCAGAGTACAGCTTGCACGTCAGCTAAACTGGTTGCCACTCTGTGTGTGCACGCATAAACGTGGATATCTTTGCTGTCCGGTTCAAATCTATCCGCTGTTCTCATTTTTTTTTTGTTCAACTACCGAGCTGAAATGCAGGTATAAAAAAGTGCACGGTCTTCTCGGACTTCCCCTTGTTACAATATATGACGACTTCACAGCTTAATCACCACCAGAAGGACCCCTCTGAAAATAAGTCTGCTTCGGACTTTCGTGGATTATCCTTCGTGTTTACACCGAATAAATCTAATCCATACGACATTTAGTATAAATATCTAAATGATAATGTCTACCCCAGTAGATCGATCATTATTCACTGAATCTATTATTGTATTTCAAGTGGGTTTGTGTGATTGTTTGCCCACTCAAAATATTGTTGATAAACAACTATACATTATATTCGCCGTTATCCCTTGGTTAACACGACAAACAGTGCGGAGGAATTGTGGCGTACATGTACAAGTTGGAGCTCTCATTAGGGACTTTTAGATTTGCACGTCGACATACTGCTACGTGATGAGGTCATTTTAAGGCATTGCGCATGCGTTACGTCGTCTCCCTCGTCCACTACCAAAATCGAGAATGTGTTCACCTCGTTTTTTTGTGAAGTTTAAAGATGGAAGATGAAAATATAGTGGCAACGCTGCATTCACTAGTTCGTCCAACTGAGGCAGAGACAAGAGTCTGGGGGAAGTTTCTAACTTGTATTGAATTAATCTGTATTATTTGCTTTTTAATGCACAGGCAGTTATGTAATTTCTACTGCCTTCGTAAACACAAAAAAGGCTGTGGAAATTCATGAGCGTGCTTACGCCAGTGTGCATGCAATGCAAACCAAAGATACTAGAAATACAAGATAGAGTTCTCCACACAAAAAAAAGTGTTCCACCGAAATGCATGGTGGGAATACGAAAAACGGGACGCCCCCTACAGCTGGATCTAAAAAAACTTGTGCCAAACTTTCGTTACCAAGTCGTCGCCTATTTTATTATCAGTTCTCAACAAAGATACTAGACATAACAAACTGGAATAGACACCCAGACAGTGACATCGGTGAATACATAACCTCCTTGGTGGCGGTAGAAATCGTTGCTATTATCCAAATAATACACAAAACAATTAAAGCATAATCATGAATCAGTAAATAGATGTGTATAAGAGACAGGCTGCATGCCATTAATGATGATCATGATAAGGATCCTCAATTAGTGGAAAAGGAAGGGCGCCTTTTGCGTCTGGATATACTTAGCAACAGAAGGGCGCCCTGTACGTTGGGCACGAAGTATAGGAAACTTGCATGGTTAAAAAGAAGGGCGCCGCCTACGTCGGGCACGACTTCCGCCTCATTTTTACAACGCGAGAACTCTATCTTGTATTTCTAGTATCTTTGATGCAAACTTACACCGCAGCGAGCGCAGCCGGCCGGGGAGGCCTGTTAACTATCTGCATCATCGCAGTTGACGCACCGGATGCGCCCTGAAGTATGCATTTCATTCATCATTGTTGTACTTGTCTAGATCAAATTTCTGATAATCTCGGTACCTGAATTCGGCATTTTTGGGTTTATTTGTATTGTATAAAAACATGAATTCCTCATCGTCCAAGACACCTCGTCCAAGACACCTGTAGAATATGCAAAGACGACAATTTCGCGAAGTCGATGAAGGTTCGCCATGACACAGCTGCTTAATAAGGTTGCCTAGCGCGCGCTACATGTCGACTGAAATCTAAAAGGTTTTCATTTGTATTCAACAGGTATAGTTGACTACGTTGACACGCATGACTAGTCGACGTGAACCAGGTCCACGTCCACACAATCTAAAAGTCCTATTGACTATAAAGCCCTGGAGGCCATGGATATTCTTGCATTTATCGTTTCGGCCGGGCCCGGGGCCTTTTAATGAGCAGATCATGTAAAATAATATACGTTCTTAAACGTCAAAAAATCCAAACGGGGGTGTTCCTGTAGGCCTACTTTACTGGTCTCTAACCCAGCCCGAAGAAGGCAAGCAAGAAGCCGCCTCTTTTTACGCGACTGCGTGGCAGTGGCGTATCTCGCAGTTTTGAAATGGGGGTCCTGGTGGGGGCGCGAATGTGAAGTAGTTGTCTCGATGATCAGTTGAAGGGCTCTAATTCGCAAAATAAGGTTATTTTAGATGTTTTTTAACTACTTGACCGCGATTTTTTTTGGGGGTGGGGGAAGGAGACTGGGGGCGCGAGTAATTTTTGGGGGGACGTGCGCACCCCCTAGATACGCTAATGTTGCGGACAGGGTTTAAACACAAAGCTCAACTCAATTTGTCCCGCCATTGATGGCACAACGTTTAATCAACGTTTTCAGAGGCAAAGCTTAATGAGTATAGGATTTTGACAATAATTTGCGTAGGTTTAAAACAATAAACTGTTTTTCTGCAATCATTTGCTGTAGGCCTACCGGTAACATACGCTAATATACTTGTTTTAGAATAAGATGATTATTGCTAGCTTGCTTGCTTTATGACTTGAAAATGAGACTATATACCGAATAAATCCAATCCATATATTATTATAATATCAATCAATCAATCAGTCACGGAATTTATATAGCGCCAAAATCCAGACAGTATGATCAATCCTTATTCACTTATCTATTTTTGTATTTAATTTCAATGGGTCTCTGTGATTTTTTGTGAACTCAAAATAAATTGTAAATTGTCCATTTAAAAATCTATTTTGTTAAATAAAGAAATAGGCCTAAGCATGTTTAAATTATACTTTTTTTTTTATTGTTTTCAATTTCTACTGTAAAAATGTCCCTTCTATGAGTGACTTTTGTCATAGATTTACTATTTATTGGTGCAAAAGTGATGACTTGTGTTGTGAAGAAGAATATGTGACCATGGTCCTATTGTAGTGTGGAGTGACACGTTGGACACGCCACATTAACTTCAGCACAAGCTATTTTAATGCCATTAATAAAAGAAACAAACTATAAATGTCAATTTAGGCCTTCTCAATTTATTTCACTAGATCTCTTAAAATAATAATAATAATAATAATAATAATAATAATAATAATAATAATAATAACTAGGTCTACTTTATTCTAAACACGAAAAAGCTTCTATCACAGTAAAGGATATAAGGGAATAACCAACCCATAACTCGCAGCGTATGGGCGTGGTCCGTGACTACAGTACTTAGCCGTCATAATAGTAGGCCTAAGTCATGTTTACATCATTCCACAACTATGAGTGTTCTTCAATAAGGCATGATTGCCGTAATAATAATACTAACAACAACAATAATAATATGGCAAAAACGAAAACATAAAAAACTAAAATACAAAACATTGGAATTGAAGTAAAGTATTGCAGTAATTGATAAACTGGTAGCTAATATTTAAAATTCTTTTTTTTTTCTTGGTGTAATTTGTCGCACTAATATTTAAATATTGGAGTCATGAGCACTAGATTTCATTGTCTTGCATTTATAATATTTAGAAAATGGAAACTATTTCTTCCACAAATTCCAAACTGGTTTATCGGCCGAAGTGTTGGACCCGACCGCTGTCTACCACCTACACCATAAGGCCTACGCTGGAAAGTAGCGAAAGCCCAACAGCGAGAATTGTCAGTTGCACACAGCCAATGGACCTCATTCCGCCGCTTGATGGAAAACCATTGTCGGCCACAATTTTAGCATACGTTTCCGCTGATTTTTTAGGAATTCTCTTGCGTTCATCGTCGTTGAAGTCAACATAGTGAATACCAAATCGTTCACTGTAGCCAGAAGCCCACTCAAAGTTGTCCATCAAAGACCAAGCTGTGTAGCCTTTCACATTGCAATTGTCAATCGTGATAGCTGAAATTAAGACAAAAAATTGTCGGAGTTAATGCTGTACTTGTAAAACACAAAGAGAGGGGGACCAGGGTTAACGTTTAACTGCACGCTGCGGGACAGGGTGTGGCCAGGGCACCGAACTGAAATTTTACAAAATTATATTGTACTTCCAAATTCCGAAATTAACAATCACAGCAACAAGAAGCTCAGAAGAAAAACCTCCGAGCTGGATTCTTTCCCGACACCCAAAAACCCTCTTACTCCCCTACGTATGAGGCAGTAGGACAAGGCTATGTCATTGATATATTGGCTACTGAATCTAAAATAAACAAGCGCCACATCGTTATTCTCATTTCATTTCAACACACAATGCTAGACTCCTGAATGAAAAGAGCAGTGGCGTATCTAGAAGTCTTGAATTAGGGGGGAGGGGTGGAGGCTGACGGGGGTCGCGAAGGTGAAGCGGGGGAGGGCTTGATGATCAGTTGAGGGGCGCTAATTCGCAAAATATAGCGATTTTAGGTGACTTTTAACTACTTGACCGTAATTTTTTTTTGGTTGGTTGGGGGTGTGGCGCGAGTATTTTTTAGGGGTGCGCCCCCTCGCCCTCCCCTAGATACGCCACTGTAAAAGAGGTAAAATGTTTTCCCAAGGAACCAAGCGGAATACACAGCGAGAGATTCCAATCCTCAATAATGAGAACCTAAACCGAAGCAACCATGTCATTGCGACAACGCTCCCCTAAGTATGTTATAAATGTCACCATATTGGAACTGATAATATCATAACACTTTTAAATATCATACTGGCCTATGTGAAATCTTTCTGTTTATATGGTTTATAAACATAGACGACTATACATCGTCATTGGAGAATGATATACTACATAAGTTCTCTTTTTAAAAATAAAAGTTTTAAATTTATTTGCGTACCTTTCAACAGTTCATTGATGTAAGATCGATAGTACTTTTGTCTGATGACGTCATCCAGCTCATATACATCATGGGTTGAGACGCCATTTTCAGTAACGTAGATTGGTATTCCGCCATATTCATTGTCAATCCAGTTGACTAGATGTCGAAGTCCCCAAGGAACAACTTGAAGCCAATCCGATCCCGACTTAGGCCAGGCTTCATCTTTCCAAGACGCAATATTCTGGTCTGTCCAGTAACTAGCTTCATCAGTGTCCGTTAGAGACGTTACTGCGTATGTAGTAGTATAGTGGTTAAGACCAAAAAAGTCACCTGTGCCCTTTATGTACAATTTCTCTTCGGCGGTAAATTCTGGTAAACGAGACTGTGAATAATTTTGCATTGCGCTTTTGTAAGCAATATTCTCCTTCATTATCTGAGGATAATCGCCATTTATGTAGATTGGATGAGCAAACCAGCCAAGTTGGAACTGAAGAACTCTATCAGCAGCTACAATGTCATCTGGTTTAGACATGTTAAAGGGCTCCATGTGGTCTGAGTTCAGAGTAATCCCAATAAGACCATCCTGAGATTCTCTGTAATTGTCATCGTATGTATGCCATGCCTTGGCATGTGACTTGATTATGTTGTGTGTAACTATGTACACGGTGGTACCAGGCTCTGTGATGCCAGGAGGCCAGGTACCAGCTCCATATCCCAGGAGAGATACAATCCATGGTTCATTGAATGTAATCCAGAATTTTACTCTTGATCCATATCTTTCAAAGCACAAATTTGCATAGTCATTGAATAGACCCACGATACTTTCGTTTGTCCAACCACCAAAATCATCTAACGCTTGTGGTAAATCCCAGTGGAAAAGTGTAACCATTGGCTTGATATCTGCTTCGAGGAGTGCGTCGATCAGGTTGCTATAGTACTCAACACCTTTCTCATTGATGTTGTTTATTGTTCCATCTGGGAGAATTCGGGGCCAAGAAAAAGAGAATCGATAATGGTGAAGTCCCATTTCTTTCAAAATGGAAACATCCTCTTTGATCTTGTGATAACTATCACATGCAACATCACCAGTGTCGTCGTTTTTCACATGACCACCTTCGTGTGTCCACGTATCCCATATACTTTTCCCCTTGCCATCTTCGTCCCATGCACCTTCTATCTGGTATGAAGATGTTGCCGAACTCCATACGAATCCTTCTGGAAATGTTCCGTACAAGAATGCATCTCGTTCGGGATCATTAAATACATCTGGATATACAAATTCTGGTTCTTGAGAGTAAGCGCAAGTTACTGTTAAGACTAACACAATCGCAAAACATTTCAATATTTTGATTGAAGTTGCTTCAGCCATGCTTCAACTGTTTTCAAACTTGCTTACTTACTGGTACCGTACGACTGTAGGCACTAAAGGCAATGGTGCTGATATCTGTATTGTTACCAATCTCATCTGTTATGGTTTTATACCTACTAGACTCCCGTTACGAAACACCCCCTTGGAAACACAAACCATCAGCTTATGGGGCGTTTATATTTGAACTAAATGTTGGGATATCGTCACGAGTGTCAAGCAAACAATGATTGCCCTAAAGTTAAAACTGATAACAACTGATGAAAGGTTAATTAGACTGCATGTCAATGCATTATCAACTTCTGTAAATGTATGCAGTCGTGAGTAAGCAGTTTCGAAAAAGGCTGCAACAATCTGATGCTGTATCTATTTTCTTTTTCATTTCCTCCCAAAACCATGTTCTTTATTTAGAACATGTCTCAAACATACAGATATACAATGAAACAAAAAATTGAAACAGTAAAACAAACTCAAAAAAGAAAATTGGGTTATAAAAACATTAAAAGAGAAAGAAAAACCAAAAAGCGAACTGAATCTACTACAGTGGCGGCACTACGCAGGTAGTGTCCAAAAAAATTTAAAAATGAAAAAAAAAATGACATTTAAATTCAGGTGCCAAAATAATCTGTGAAAGTTCCTCCTTGAGTCCCCTCTATTACGAATTCCTGGATCCGCCAGTGATCCCAGGCATGACGCCAGGAACACGTACGATATGTGTTGGCTAGCAGCAAAGATACTAGAAATACAAGATAGAATTCTCGCATTGTAAAAATGAGGCGGAAGTCGTGCCCAACGTAGGCGGCGCCCTTCTTTTTAACCATGCAAGTTTCCTATACTTCGTGCCCAACGTACAGGGCACCCTTCTATATCCAGACGCAAAAGGCGCCCTTCCTTTTCCACTAATGGAGGAAAACTTTTTCACTAAGAGTGCGTCCGGCCATGCGATTCTGCGCTGTATTGTTTATTTTTTACTGATTCATGATTATGCTTTAATTGTTTTGTGTATTATTTGGATAATAGCAACGATTTCTACCGCCACCAAGGAGGTTATGTATTCACCGATGTCAATGTCTGGGTGTCTATTCCAGTTTGTTTTTACATCTAGTATCTTTGTTCAGAATTGATAATAAAATACGTGACGACTTGGTAACAAAAGTTTGGCACAAGTTTTTTTTTAGATCCAGCTGTAGGGGGCGTCCCATTTTTCATATTCCCACCATGCATTTCGGTGGAACGTGGAACACTTTTTTTTGTGTGGAGAACTCTATCTTGTATTTCTAGTATCTTTGCTAGCAGTATAACTGGTCAAAGATCAGGGGGATGATTAATCCGCGCATGGGTATTAGTTAGCAAAACTCTCCTAAGAACGAGAGTCAGTCTGCTCAAAGGTACAAAGGTACATTCTGTTTCGATACAACAGTCATGAAGACTTTACGTTTTGCAAGCTTTTTCAGTTTTCTGTATTTGGTTTGCGCAGAGGAGTTTTTCTATCCAGACTACTTTAATGACACTGAGAGAGATGCTATATACTACGATTCCTTTCCTGAAGAATTCATCTGGGGTTCGGCGACGTCTGCTTATCAAATAGAAGGGGGATGGGACGCTGATGGCAAGGGTCCTAGTATCTGGGATACATTTGCACACGCTGGTAAAATAAATGACGGACAAACTGGTGACGTTGCATGCAACAGCTACAACAACTATCTTCAAGACGTGGAGATTTTGAAAAATATGAAAGTATCTCACTATCGATTTTCAATCTCATGGCCCCGTATTCTGCCCGATGGAACAATTAACACAGTCAATGAGCCCGGTATCAGTTACTATAATAAATTGATCGATGCCTTAATCGAATCTGACATTGAACCAGTTGCCACATTGTACCATTGGGATTTACCACAGTCTCTACAGGACATTGGAGGTTGGGAAAATGAGACTCTGGTGGATCTCTTCAATGACTACGCAGATTTATGCTTTAAGCGCTTCGGTGACAGAGTCAACTACTGGATAACATTCAATGAGCCGTATGTTGTAACGTGGCTTGGGTATGGTATAGCTGTGTTTGCTCCTGGTATCTACGACCCAGGCAATGCTCCTTACAGAGCTGCACATACCATTATCAAGGCCCACGCTAAGGCATACCACACCTACAAAGAGAATTACTCTTACGGAGGCAAAGTGTCCATCTCACTAAGTACCGACTATGGAATGCCAGAGAATGCTGATAGTCAAGAGGACGTTGATGCTGCCATTCGGTATATGCAATTCACTGCAGGGTGGTGAGTACTACCGTAGCTCTTTCATGACGACTTCAAAGAACTTACATGGTAATTAATTGCTTCGGGTCTGGCACAAGACGTTTACGTCGGTTCATCTTGCAAATTGCATATTGTAAACATTTCATTCTATTGTATTGCATTTACATCCTCTACTGTAATTTCAGTGTTTTTTTTAAATAATTATTATTACGCCTACTTCTGCATTTTTTATTGATGTATGTTATGTTATTGATTGGTGCAATAAAGAGAATTAATAATAATTTGTCAGTACCACCGCTGATGCATTAGCATCATCATTGACACATTAGCTTCATCAACAGTGACGCATTACATCATCATTGACGCATCAACATCATCTGTGATGAGTTCCTTTTTCTTACATAGGTATGCTCATCCGATTTTTAATGGTGATTATCCGGAGCAAATGCGAACTCAGGTGGACACCAAAAGTAAAGCTCAGGGACTGAATGCATCCCGTCTCCCATATTTCACTGCGGAAGAGGTTGCCTACATCAAAGGCACTCACGATTTCTTCGCACTGAATGCTTACACGAGTACGGTGTGCAGACACGCACCTAATGTCAATTCGGAAGAAAATTATGAGGCAGACCAGGTACGAAATATTATCATATATTCATAAATCATATTCAATAATGACTGTCAAAATTATTGTTTTTATTATTTTTAAATATAGTACATATTCAACGTTGTATCCACTAAAATCGAATTAATGACATTTAAATATTGGTATACGTGCAGTGGTCCTCAAATTTGTTCATTGAATAGGAAGTGGTCTCCTGGCCCAGAAAGATTGCGTAATACTGCATTGATCACTTCATTTAAAAGTAAAGGTCGTATCGTACTCTGTCATTGGAACAGTGGCATATCTACGGGGTACGCGGATGAAAACGCATACACCACCTTCCCCACCCCTCACGCCTCCTAAAAAAAAGCTAACTCCCACCCACTCCATTCAATGTAAATTTTCGTAGCAACAGATATGCTGAAGTAATTAAAAAATCACCTCAGATTACCTTGTTTTGCCAACGAGAATCCCCTCACATAATCACCGAACCCTCAAACCTGACCATCGCATTCCCTTTCCATAAGGGCCCCCACCCCAGTTTCAATACTCCTAGATATACCAATGCCATGAAATAATAATGTACATGTACGAATTAAATGAGTATATTACTATAAAACGCGGCTATTAGAAACTTATTTTATTCTCTTCAGGATGTTTTTCGTTCTCAACCAGATGACTGGCCGACATCTACCTCATCGTGGTTACGACCAGTTCCTTGGGGCTTAAGAGAGCTGCTTAACTGGGTGAAAACAGAATACAACAATCCGGATATTTTCATCACTGAAAACGGCGTCTCTACTCCTTATGATCAGGCTCTTGATGACACAGACAGAATCACTTTTTATTCAGCATACCTCAATGAAGTACTTAAAGGTAATATATATATATCAACTTGCCATCTTTAGGTCTAATATTTATATTATGAAATACTGATATTAGAGGTCTCCCTGCAATTAAAGACCGCTTTTGAGACCGGGGTTTCCATGGTATTCAGCAGCTTTGTCTTTATTTAGAATAATAAGGATAAAAGACATTTTTGTTAATATGAAACCACAGAAACGTGGTCTTTAATTGGTGGTAGTCTTTAATAAGAGAGAGACATGTATTTACTCATCATGAGCCCGTGGCGAAACGAATAGGCATGAGGGCCATTGCAAATGCTTCTTCGGGTTTTCTGGTTCTGGAGGGTAAAGCCTACGTTCTAGGCGGATCCCCATCCAATCGGCGTTTTAACGTTAATTGCGTACCGTACTTTGAGGATTTTTTGATGTTTTTTTAAAGTTCAGTTTTTGGTCCTGCAGACAATAATGATTAATATCCGAATGTCCCAACCCGGGCCGCTAGCTTTAGATTGATAAACGCCACTACTATCAACAGTCGCAAATGAGAGTTGTAATGACGTCATGGATATAATGTATTAAGTTTTATAGTAAACAATAAACAACCTAAACTAAACCTAAAACGATAGCGCCTCTAATAATATTTTATACTATATATGTCTCCATAGCAATAAAGATTGATGAAGTCAAAGTAATCGGCTATTTTGCATGGTCATTGATGGACAACTTAGAGTGGACATCAGGATACACCCAGCGGTTTGGGCTGAATTACGTAGACTTCGATGATGAGGACAGACCACGTACTGCAAAACAATCCGCAAGTTTCTATCGTGATCTCATCAATGCGAACGCATTTGTACCAAGTGCGGCCGTCATCACAAAATGCTCAGTCTTGTTATCAATCATGGTTATTTTCATCCAATTCGTTAGATAAGTTTGCTAGCTAACATTGAAGTATTAATCTTAAGTAGTTACATAAACACAAGGAAAAAGTATTTCGGCCTACAAATGAGCTTTTACGATGTGTCGTTTTTGCTGTTGCAACCTGTTAGGGTCATGTTGTGATTGAATTGACCATTATTATTCTATAGGACATGCTTCAAAACACTTGGCACAACTGTGGCAGTGGATAGTTCAGTGTGATTATGGGTCCCGACAAAGTAGTAAAAAAACGTACACGTACACCACGAAGCATGGAAAAGATAATTAATTAAATAATAAACGTGTTTGATAAAGCTGTAGTGTATATAATAAAATCAGAAAAATTTTCACATATACATTATTTTTGTCTTCTAGTGCCGCTCTAAGCAGCAAAAACTTGATTTGAATAGCCCTATTATTTCCTATGATTTACCAGTTGCTACATATAAGCTACGTAGCTTAGAAATAAAAGGTTCACTCCACTACATTATTATCTAGCCTATTTCATTTAAACTTGTGTACCCAGCGCAGGCGCAGGTCTAGTGGGGCACACGGGAACGTATCCCACCCCGTTTTGCCACTAAATATTAAAATTTCAATGCATATTGAAATTAACGATACTCACTTATCTATTCTAAAATGCATTGACCTTTTTATTGTTATACTGTAAATGTCTTTCTATCTCTCAATTTTTGTTTTTGTTCCTCTTCCTGAAATTTACAATTAAGCAGTGATTAGCTTCGCCATAGGTTGATCAGACTTTTAGGCTTTAATAAGTGAATATATAAGCAAATACGTAAGTCCTATTTATACATTCAACAAACTTAATTAAAGACTAAAACAAACACATACCATACCACTTTATAGCACACACGTACCTCGTCGCGTTGCGTTCTGCTGTATAGGCCTATGGATGGATACTGAAGATTCAAGTGATTAAAATGAGCCTCTCAAATCTCTCCCTGGACCCCCACCAGGGTCATAGGCCACGGGTGGACTCAGCCGCAGTGGCGTATCTAGAAATCTTTAAATGGGGTGGTCGATCGTCGGGAATCGATGATTAGGTCATGGAGTGTAGCTTGCAAAATAAGGTGATTTGAGGTGATTTTAAACTACTTGACCGTAATTTTTGGGGGCGCCTGGGGGGGGAGAACGCGTATTCTACGCGGACCCCCTAGACCCCACTTTCATAGATACGCCACTGCTCAATCGTATTATAAATTATGAATTATTCGCTTTTCTGTAACTTTCTGGCGCGCGGGAATGAAATGATGTCATAGGGGTTTCCCCTCTATGACTTTACTTACGTCAATGGTGGCGCACTTGATGTATTTATCATATCCAGTCTTTTTCTTTCTCTTTTCTTTGTGCCGAGCAAGCATCGCGAAACAATGGGGCTGAAGTCATGGGCGAATAGTGATTAGTGGCCTAGCTTTGCTTAGCTTGCAAAAACGTTAAAAGGAAAGATGAGGATGGGAAGAAGCACCATCCAGAAGCTACTCATCTTGTGTTTGTGTGCCTCCTTGCTTGGATTTTTTATGATGATCATGAATATCGGTAAGTCTTTTTCAAGATGTGTGCCACGTCATACAGCCTAGCTAGTAGTAGTAGTAGTAGGCCTTAATTATTCCTAGCCTAGGCCTAGGCTTAGCTAGTCAGTCAATCATCTTCTTCATTCATGTTTTCTTTTTTTTTTGTTCAGTGCTACTCGGTGTCTGGATAAGCTTTGTCAGTTAAGCTAGGCCTAGGGCCTAGATGAACAATTTGATAACAACTCCCAGGATAGATGAAATATACTTCTTCAAATTAAAGTTTTCACAAAGTTTACATTTTTATGATAAACCAAGTTTTCTACTCTATAGAAAGCATATTTAAAGATGTATCATGTATGTAAAAAATTGAAGAAAAAAAACAACACCCCAAAAACGAAATAAAATAATTTACAAGGATCAGAAAGTTAGTAAACTTCCAACCAGATTGCAAAGATTAGTTTACACAATTTGCTAAAAATATTCTAAAATTTATTGACAGCCAATTTAATTAAGGTCAATCAGAACAATAATACAGGAAAGATAAGTATTTAATTATTTGTATATTCTGAAATATACAAATATTAAGCAATTAATATAAAAATATTTATATATTTATACAAATTAATATATATATAAATTATATATATATATATATATAAATATAAAAAATTAATATACAAATATTAAGCAATTAATATAAAAATATTTATATATTTATAAAAATATATATATATATATAAATTATATATATATATATATATATAAAAAATTAATATATATATATATATATATAAAAATGAAAATATAAAGATAGCAATTAATATATAAATATTAAGCTATTCAAATATGGAATTGAATAATTCATCTTTTTTAAAGCTTATAGCAGACAGTACCAACATTAATTATAAAGGAGTTTCTCAAAGATAAATATCTATCTTAAAAATGGTTTTAGGCCAAGTAAAAAAAAAATATAGCTACTCATCCTAATAATATTTTGAAAAAAGGAGAATGAGGGCAATTTGTTTATGGCAAATCCAAGATGGCCGATGAGAAACAGCTACTAATTTCTCACTTTCATAAAGTATACACATTGAAAGCAAATAAAAGAAACACTAGACATGATTCATACCATATGTATCCCCAACCATGAACATTTGAGAGAGGAATTTTACTGATGCGAGTCAGCCAGATTTTCGTACTTTTCATAAAATAAAGGAAATAAAAAAATAAAATAAAATAAACACCGTGAGTGAGAATTGATGGTCTTATGTCACATGAGTAAACAGATTGTATTAGATTTTGAGAGATAAACATATAATCTAGTCTTCTATATATTTGAGTTGATTTTCTACGCCATGTAAAATGAGTTCTTGTGGAATTAAGTGTCCTCCATGCATCAATTACATTAAAATTTTTCATAAAGTTCATTAATGTATATGTTGAATTGTCTGTTATGCTTTTACTGCCTTTTTGGCCTAAATTTTTATTTAAAACACAATTCATATCTCCAGATATGATGATGTTACTCTCTTCATTAACTATAAAGTTCTTAATAATATTGTTTAACTTTCTATAAAAAAAACACTTCGTTCACTTGCAGTATTTGGTGCATATACATTAACAAGCACAAATGACGATATGTCTATTGCGATGCTTATAATGACAAATCTACCATTTTCATCAATCTGTGTTTTATTAACCTTATAGGTATCACAATCCTTAATCAGAGTTGAAACTCCTCTTGAGTAAGAAGATCCAAAGCTATGATACGCTTGACCTTGCCAAGGAAATTCATATTGATTTATTTTATTACAAGTCATGTGCGTTTCTTGAATGAAAAATATATCAACTTTATTGTCATTTGCCCATTTGAAAATACATTTCTGCTTATGCTTCTCTCTTAATCCTCTAGCATTGAGAGACAAGAAGTGAATGTTAGGTGTCATTTAATAAATTAATATATAATAAGTATATAAGTATAAATAAGTGTAATAAATAATAAGTATCTATCAATTTTGTTTGTTTACCTATTTGTTTTATTTATTTATTAATTTTTTTAATTTTTTTTTTATTTTTTTTTATTTTTTTATTTATTAATTTTTTTTTATCCCTAATTACGTCCAACAGATTATTGGTTGTAAACATCAGTTTTATATGTATCTGTAAGTCAGACATAGATAACAGATTGCTGTAAGTAAGACTAAAATTTGCATAGACAGTTAAGATCGTCACACAAACGCCTATTGTTAATAATATTCATGCTATTGTTTACGGTCAACCATGATAACGTACAGTACTTGCATAGTGCATTTAAAGACATGTTTCGTGATCGGTGAATCGGGGTCATCATTATTATTATTACTATTTTTATGAATGTGATTTATCGAGATCCTTGTATTTAGCATGAGTTTATCAAGGAATGAATATTTAACTATTTTTTGTTTTACTTTTACTTGATTTTCTTCTTCTCTTGGTTCCAGGCTGGGTTGGAGAGACAACGTTCACTGCTTCTTCTTCTGTTTTTTTATCTGTAGAGTTCTTTTTCGATTTTGATTGTTCGTTTGGTAACGACTTTATGAAATCTGTAATCTTTCCCTTTTTCTTTTTGGTATCTGCTGTTTCACTTCGCTCTTCGATTTCCTTCTCATTCTCAGCATCACTTGTGCTACCTGAGTCATCACTTTCATCTTCACTGTCGTCGGTGTCTGTGTCTTTTTCATTCTGTTCTACCACTCTTGTCCATACCTCTTGAATTAGACGTTCTCCAGACGTATCATGCAGTAGTTTAACCGCACTACATTGGTCTTTTTTGTGCCCTTGTATACCACAGATATGGCATACAAGCTCATTTGTACATTCATTTGCACTGTGCCCTTGCTTTAGGCGTTTGGAACATTTCGCTCTCTCATCTTTTTGACCATTGTGAAAGAATCTTCCTTTAAATCCACTTACACTAATGAACCTTGGTAGTGCAGTATTGAGCGTTTCCACAAATGCAAGCCGGTCACCATTTAAACAGTTTGTCAGATGCCCATCAACTCTTAATTTCATGCGTTGAATATTTCCTATTATTTTGCAATTAAAACGTATTAGAGATTTCCTGATTTCGTCGTCTGCCACCGACAGAGTTAGGTCCTTAATGATTACTCGGGTTGAGTCTTCCCGGTGAAGGTAAGGATTTTGTTCATAAACTTGAATGTTCTTACCTCTGATATTGATTCCTGATGTTATCAAATTTACTCTATCTTGCAGAGAATCAATATAAAGCCTCCACAAATTCTTGATTCTTTGTACACCAAAAATATTTTGGCTTTCTACATAATTTAGCAATGCCTTGTATATGTCCTGAGGTTCAATAAATGACTCTCCTTTTGTATTTACCTCATCAACTTTCATGTATATAGGTTTCATGCTTCTTAGACTCTCTTTTATATTTCCCGCGTTGAGCGTCAGCTGATCTTTGGACGCGGGAGTCGTACTAGCCATCATTTGTGAAAATTTCAGAATTCTGGTATGGTATCCAAAAAAAATTCAAATATGTTACCTTAAAAGCTTTCACAATTCATTGATAGACTTTTTCAGAGCAAAACTGCAACTGATCCTTTAAATTCTGATATTTTTTGTAGAGCGAGTGTAAAGAACGTTCCCCTTAGAGATCTGTCTGTCGCCACTTCACTACATTAATATCTAGCCTATTTCATTAAAACATTATTTGTGTACCCAGCGCAGACGCAGGTCCAGAGGGGCACACGGGAACTTACCCCACCCCGTTTTGCCACTAAATATTAAAATTTCAATGCATATTGAAATTAGCGATACTCACTTATCTATTCGAAAATGCATTGACCTTTTTATTGTTATAAATGTCTTTCTATCTCTCAATTTTTGTTCTTGTTCCTCTTCCTGAAATTTACAATTAAGCAGTGATTAGCTTCGCCACAGGTTGATCAGACTTTTAGGCTTTGATAAGTGAATATATAAACAAATACGTAAGTCCTATGTATACATTCAACAAACTTAATTAAAGACTAAAACAAACACATACCATACCACTTTATAGCACACACGTACCTCGTCGCGTTGCGTTCTGCTGTATTGGCCTATGGATGGATACTGAAGATTCAAGTTATTAAAATGAGCCTCTCAAATCTCTCCCTGGACCCCCACCAGGGTCATGGGCCACGGGTGGTCTCAGCCGCAGTGGCGTATCTAGAAATCTTTAAATGGGGTGGTCGATCGTCGGGGATCGATGATTAGGTCAGGGAGTGCTAGCTTGCAAAATAAGGTGATTTGAGGTGATTTAAAACTACTTGACCGTGATTTTTGGGGGAGACTGGGGGGTTGGGGAGAGCGAGTATTCCACGGGGACGCGGACCACTGCTCAATCGTATTATTAATTATGAATTACTCGCTTTTCTGTAGCTTCCTGGCGCGCGGGAATGAAATGATGTCATTGGGGTTTCCCCTCTATGACTTTACTTACGTCAATGGTGGCGCACTTGATGTATTTATCATATCCAGTCTTTTTCTTCCTCTTTTCTCTGTGCCGAGCAGGCATCGCGAAACAATGGGGCTGAAGTCATGGGCGAATACTAATAGTGATTAGGGGCCTAGCTTTGCTTAGCTTGCAAAAACGTTAAACGGAAAGATGAGGATGGGAAGAAGCACCATCCAGAAGCTACTCATCTTGTGTTTGTGTGCCTCCTTGCTTGGATTTTTTATGATGATCATGAATATCGGTAAGTCTTTTTCAAGATGTGTGCCACGTCATACAGCCTAGCTAGTGCTAGTAGGCCTAATTACGCCTAGACTAGGCCTAGGCTTAGCTAGTCAGATCATCTTCATTCATGTTTTTTTTTTTTTTTTTTTTTTTTTTTTTTTCAGTTTTTCTTTGTTTTTTTTTGTCTGTTCAGTGCTACTCGGTGTCTGGATAAGCTATGTCGGTTAAGCTAGGCCTAGGGCCTAAATGAACAATTTGATAACTACTCCCAGGATAGATGAAATATACTTCTTCAAATTAAAGTTTTCACAAAGTTTACATTTTTATGATAAACCAAGTTTTCTACTGTATAGAATGCATATTTAAAGATGTATCATGTATGTACAGTAGTACCTGCCAAAAAAATTGAAGAAAAAAAAAACAACACCCCAAAAACGAAATAAAATAATTTACAAGGATCAGAAAGTTAGTAAACTTCCAACCAGATTGCAAAGATTAGTTTACACAATTTGCTAAAAATATTCTAAAATTTATTGACAGCCAATTTAATTAAGATCAATCAGAAGAATAATACAGGAAAGATAAGTATTTAATTATTTGTATATTCTGAAATATACAAATATTAAGCAATTAATATAAAAATATTTATATATTTATAAAAATTAATATATATATAAATTATATATATATATATATAAATATAAAAAATTAATATACAAATATTAAGCAATTAATATAAAAATATTTATATATTTATAAAAATTAATATATATATATAAATTATATATATATATATAAAAAATTAATATATATATATATAAAAATGAAAATATAAAGATAGCAATTAATATATAAATATTAAGCTATTCAAATATGGAACAGAATAATTCATCTTTTTTAAAGCTTATAGCAGACAGCACCAACATTAATTATAAAGGAGTTTCTCAAAAATAAATATCTATCTTAAAAGTGGTTTTAGGCCAAGTAAAAAAAAATATAGCTACTCATCCTAATAATATTTTGAAAAAAGGAGAATGAGGGCAATTTGTTTATGGCAAATCCAAGATGGCCGATGAGAAACAGCTACTAATTTCTCACTTTCATAAAGTATACACATTGAAAGCAAATAAAAGAAACACTAGACATGATTCATACCATATGTATCCCCAACCATGAACATTTGAGAGAGGAATTTTACTGATGCGAGTCAGCCAGATTTTCGTACTTTTCGTAAAATAAAGGAAATAAAAAAATAAAATAAAATAAACACCGTGGCTAGAGATACGGTACCGTATCTGTACTTCCATTTTGCTAAATGTATGGTAAATGGCATTACGTCACCATCACCCAATGAAGTGCGAATTGTGTGTGGCAGATGGAAGTGGAAATACGGTACCGTATCTCTAGCCACGGCATAAAATAAATTGGTGAGGCAAAGAAAATAGATGCGCGGGGACGGGAAACTATTAATTTTTTTTGTTTTTGCCATACGTATTTAAATAAGAAATTTTCTTTTTTATTTACTAGGTTTTAATTGTCAAAATGGTGCTAAGACAAAAGGAAATGTTGATGGACTTGCAAAAGAAATCAATGATGATTTTAAGAAAAAAATGAAAGAATTAGAAGAAAAAGAAAAAAATATTAATTTGGCTGCAAAAAGACTTGATTTCTTACAAACTACCTTAAGAAGACAGTATCCGTATGCTGTGGATTATATTTCGCAAATTATAGACGATGATTTGCCAACTATATACGCTATCACGCCAACATATGCGAGACACGTTCAGAAAGCAGAGTTAACGCGGATATCACAAACTTTTCTACATATAAAAAACTTTCATTGGATAGTTGTAGAAGATGCATTGGAGAAAAGTCAACTCGTTTCTCATTTTTTAGAAAAATCAGGCTTAGTATACACCCACTTGAATACAAAAACACCAGAACATTACCAGCTCGGCGAAAATGATCCAAGCTGGTTGAAGCCAAGAGGAGTTGAACAGAGAAACCTAGCAATAGACTGGTTGCTTAGGCATGTTGATGCCAATAAGGAACCAGGAGTTTTATACTTCGCTGATGATGATAATACTTATGATCTACAGATATTTCATGAGGTAATTAGATACGTGTTTCTTGAAGTTTACAGTAGCGGAGCCAGAATTTCCCTAATGAGGGGTCAAAGTACCCCGACAGGGATCCAAATGCACCTCAGCCCCACTCTGAGTTGAGTGGCCGAACGGTAAGGTGGGGGGGGGGCGTTGCCTAATATAGCTTTAACATCGGCGCTGGTTCCAGCCGCTTCTCGCCCAGGTAGAGCCAAGTCTTCTAGGATAAGGAATTAAAATGGAGGTTCCAATGTACACATCTGGCTTGTGTGCACTTAAAGAACCTACAGTATTGCATCTTTCAAAAGATTAGGGGGTTACCCTGATGCTATGGTTCATTTCAGTCCCTGTGGAATGACGTGAGCATGTAGCTACTATAAGCACCTCATTACGGCGCCTAGGTAGTCCCAGACCACATACTATACGCAATTCATCACAATGATGCGTGAGTTATATGGGTCTTCAGGACCCACATATATATGTAAATGCCCAACTGAATCTAGGAGGAGGAGGTTTGCCTACAATGACTGCAAATTTGTTTCTAATACTTAGCCATTTTTTACTGTTTTATTTTTCTACACTTAATATTTGGATTCATCTTCTCCAATATTAACAATTTTTGAAACTTTACGATAAAAATTGTAATGTATTTTATCCGGTTTCTGTATGGTACTTGTTTTTGAATGTGAATGTGATTGTTGTATTTTTTTTAATGAGATTTTCTACTGAACTGGTTCCCCAGTATAAAGAATAAAGAAAATAAATTTTTAGAAAAACAGTGTTCCCAGACAAATTTACAGGCACAATACTTGGCTTCTTCTCCGATGGTGGTCCAGGGTTCCCCAATAGGGGATCCTGTGTCACCTGGACCCCTGGTTGGCGCCACCACTGGTAGTTCACTGTGGTTAATAGGTACAATTTAAACGTGTGTGAATCAGGTTGAGGTCAAAAAGTAGTTAAATGGCATACAAATAAAACAATAAAAATTTACAATTAAAAACAGTTTAATATTTAAGTCCTTGAAAAAGTAGCAGCTGTTATTAGAATGCCATCAAAATGTCAAGAAAAACCTGCAATATGGTAATTCAGTGGCAGATTGGCTTATCTTTCAATTGGTTGCTGACCAATGCGCCTTTGGGGTGTGGCGCTTTTTTTAGAAGGGAAAATTGACAATGATAGTTAAGATAGTTATCACTTTAAAATATTATTTAACAGCATCCATATAAATATGTTTCTGGAGTCTTAAAACATAGTAATGGTAAAGGTAGGAAAGTAGATAACAGTTTTTTTTTTGCTGTATTCCATGCCCAATATTATCAAAACATGAATGATTCCAAAAACCTAAGTGCCTCTAGTTTTTGTTACTGGACCACTAACTGTTTGGGTCTAGTTCACGCCTTTCCTCGATAAACTTTCATTGATGTACATTTTCAAAAAATAATAATATTACATGATTTTGTTTTAAATACAATAGATGAGGAGTACACAAACGGTGTCCGTATGGCCAGTCGGTATTGTTGGTGGGCTCAAGTTTGAGCGCCCTCTGTTGAATGCACAGGGAAGGGTTTATGCGTGGTACACAGCGTGGAAGCCAGAGCGACCATTTGCAATCGACATGGCAGGATTCGCTGTCAATCTTCAGCTTCTACAACAGAATTCGCAAGCTAGATTTGACATACGAGTCCCCAGGGGCTACATAGAATCTTCTCTCCTTTCAAAAATCGTCACTATGGAAGATTTAGAACCCAAGGCAGATTTATGCACAAAGGCAATTTATTTTCATTTTCATTTTGAATACTAAAGCCGGGCACTCACTGACGCGTTTTTACAGAGAATGCAACGCCACAACGCAAATGCAACAGATCATTTTTAATGACGATCCATTTAGACTGCCATTGACAATGAGCAGATGACATCGCCTCAATTCCTCATGAGTGAGCTCAGTGAGTGACCGGTTTATACTATGTTCATTATATATTCTGTTCATTTTCAAGGCTGGTCGGAAAAAGCACCATGAGCGCTGAATGGTGAAGACTGGCGCTATAAAAGTATTTTATAGGTCCATGATGATAAAAGTCTCCAAAATTATTATCTATATCCTTAAATATTTGTGACAACAGTACTAAAATGTGATTTAAATTTTATTTGGTAATTGCAGAATTATAATTATTATATATGGTTTTAATTTAGTATATTTAACCTAAATATAAGTACTGTATGTAAATTGTAACAATTAGCATATTGTAAATTAAATATGCTAATTTATTATGAACAATAATACAGGAATTTGCACTGCGCATTTTGCCAAGGGATACAAGGATCAATAAAAATGAATTTTTAAAAGTGGATACTTTAAGTAACAATTGGAAACGACACCAACAGAAAAACAAACATCAGACAATAAATTTAAAAACATCTACTATAAATAAAATAAGAATTTAACATTGTTTATAAATTTATGAATTTGAATAATATTTCTAGTACTCTTTTACCCTGAAAAACTTCTGTATGTTATGAATTTCAGGTTGGGAGATTTGTCTAAAATATTCATGTAATTTAATAAGGCATACCCAGATACAGAGTGTATTAGCATTACATTGAACATATAGTTAAGAATCATGAAAATAAATTGCTCAAAATTTAATGTTTACAAATAAATGGTGTTTTTATTTTTTTTATAGGTCTATGTGTGGCACACAAGGACAGAGAAACCAAAGATGAAACAGGAGGACATTTTGTTAAAGCAAGGCAAACCATCTGACCCAAATGTAGAGGTTTAGGAGACACTGGCAAGGGGAAATACAGACCTTCCTCTAATTAAGACCCATCCAATTAAAGACCATTTTTCTGTGGTCCCAAATTAACAAATATTTTTAAATTTTATTAATCTAACCAAAGCTGATAAAGAATATGAAAACCCCCGGTTTGAAAAGTGGTCTTTAATTGAAGGGAGACCAGTATACAAAGACAAAATTACATGATAGATACTGAAGGTTAGAAAAGTATGCATGGATTGGACATAAAATTAATATAACTACATTACATTATTTCTTAAAGAAGTTTACTAATTTTGTATAATTTTAGAGCTAATTTAGCATACTCAGCAGGGGCGGATCCAGACATGTTCAAAATGGGGGCCAAAGGTTTGGCCGATCAAGGCAGCACTACCCTAGGAGGTCAGGGGTAATTCCCCTGCAAAATTTTGTTTGCAGAAAACACCAGAAAATAACCTCTGAGGTGTTTTGGGTGATCATTTTTTCTTTTTCTCTTTTCCTTTCTTTTTTCTTTTTTTTTTTTTACTTTCCAGAAGAGGGGGAGCACAGCCGGGCCGGCCCGGTCCACCCCTCCCCCCACTTAATCCGCCCCTGCTCAGTCACATGATAATTTCTTGAAGTTACGAATCTTGTATGTGCTTGCAACATAGACGCTCGAAGTAGGTTTGTGATGACGTTATAAGAGCATCATTCGGAATAATTTACCTATTGAATATGGAATAATTTACCTATTGAATATGGAATAATTTACCTATTGAATATGGAATAATTTACCTATTGAATATGGAATAATTTACCTATTGATATTAAAAGATTGTTTTGTTTGTGACAGCTGGGGCACTTTCAAAGGGAAAATTAAACATTATTTTAGACAATTTCGTTCATGGGATTGTTAATTGTTTTTCCTCCAACTGTATTTTTGTTTTAAATTTTTTTATTATTTATATATTTTAATATTTATATTTATATATTTTTGATAAAATTAATATTTATATTAGTTAATAATATTGAATTTTGAGCTGGAGGGGCACACCATATCCGGTGATAGTAGTTCTTGTACTGCTTTTGCCACTCCTCAGCCCTCCTCTTTCTTTTTTGATTTTGTTTTTTGTGGTTCTGGCTGAAAGGAATAAAATAAAATAAATACCCACCCATAGCTCGGGCCTTCAGCTGTAGTTACACCCATAAATACTTAGCCCCCCCAACCCCCATAAATTATATCCTAGAGCTGCCACTGCACTGTTATTCAGTTTTTATTTGCAAGCCAAATGTCGTCTTTTCTTGATTACAGTGATGCGCTGTCAGAGTTGGGGTAGGGGGGCAAGGCCACTATGAGGCAGAGCAATATATAACATGTGCTGCATCACAATCAGATTTTGTTTTAATTTTTTAAATATATTTTTACAGATTTGTCTTTTTTGTCTATGTTTACCTAAACTTATGCATGCACAAGGAGCTGCAGATATTGTTTGTAGCTAAACGTACTACTGTACTTGGGGCAAAAGTGAAGTTTTGATTTAACACTGAGGGCAGCACCTAAATTTTGGCATTTCCAAAACCTTCATGGACTGCTTGTTTACCACTTTAAGCTCAGTTCTAATATTACTTTTTTACAGATGATTGGTGTCATCAGTGTTCCTGTAATTTTTTGCTTAAAAATGAGCAAGTTGACTTTTTTTTTTTTCTTTAAAGACTTTTTCAGAATACAATGAATAAAGAAAAAGATTTAACAAATGTATTTGTGTTTATTTATACTGAAAGAAACTAGGAAATATTTTATCAATTCATGAATGAAATTATAATAAACTGAACATAAATATCACTTGTAACAGTAGCTACCAGATATGTTATCGCCCTACATGTGTATTACTGCATAAGGGAGATTTTGATTGCATGACGATGGTAAGATGTAGACCGTAACGACGTCAACAAAAGCCATCTGCACATGCGAGAACGTTTAGTTCTCCTTTTCACATGGATTCTAGGATGCAATTTGGCCAAATCTTCCTTATGCAGAGAACGTAGGACACCCGGTAGTACGGTCACGCATGAGTGATTCCGTTCTAGCATTGCGTCGTCAAACAAATTAAAAGCTCCCTAGCATTTTTAACACACCATAAATCAAATATTGTAAGGCCAGCTGTTTTATGCAACTTAGCATTGTACAGAAACAATTCTTATGACAACTTTTTATACCATATCTAGAATGTAACACTAGTTAAGTGCTGTCATCACCATTATGTGAAAGGTAAGGCCATATGGTATATGCTTTCAATGTATGTAACACTAAAGTTTATTAATACTAATCTCAGACAACAGTCATTAGCATTATCTTCTCTGTGCAGAAGGCCGGCCTTCTATTTTTATTATTTACAAGAATCCAAAGTTATCGATTACAGTAACTAGTAAAAATGATATAAAACAGGTACGTACAGTATCCAATTTTATGTAGGTATTGATGTTTACCGAGTCAAAATTTAATAATCCCACTAATTTTAAATGCTCTCCCATTATAAAGCCAATAAAATCCCCTCTACTGGAATTGTTTGGCCGTGAACTATGTGCAAAATATAATATTAAGCAAGAGATGACTCGTGATTAGTTCAATTTTAATTGTTCTCGCATTTTGCAGCCAATAAAATTATCCCTTGCAGAATAATTTGGCCTTGAGTCGTATGCACATAGGTAGAACATAATAAACAGCAGATGATTCTTGATTTGTTCAAGTTCAACTGTTCTTGCATTGTGCAACCAATAAAATCACCCCTTACAGAATTGCTTGGCCTTCAGTCATGTGTGCAACATCCTAATCAACAGAAGACGATTCCTGACTGGATCAATGTGCTCTGCCAACAGACTACATTATGGCATTACACTCTGCTACCAATCAAATGTTGTTACTCATTGATAACTTAATAGCAGCTTCTAGCATCGCATCTTCCGTTTCCTCATCGATAACTTCATCCATCTTTGGTGCTTTACTTTTTCCATCATCTCCTGAAACTACTGAATCACTGCTTGCAGATTTATTCACTGAAACTTTCATTTGCTGCCTAAGCAAAATAACAAAAAATAAAAGGTCTTATTATTATTAAAATGTTTTAAAGATAAACATGTAAAATGTCATTTATAACAGCATTTTTAATAATGAAATTAATTAAAAAAAAAAAAAAAACTGAATAAGTAAAAGATACATGCATGCTCAATTCATTGAATAAAGTTTCTTATTTTACCAAAAAAAATAAAAATTCAGTATAAATGTTTATACTGATAATAATATTTTGGAAAAGTATTATTTTACTGATATTACCTTTTTTGTATGTTTGCAGCATCATGGCATAGTACTGAAAGTACAGAATTTATACTTCTGTACCACATGTATTTTGGAAAAGCTTAAACCATATTATTACAGTTAAACTTGCCTAAGTCGATTGTGCCTTACATGCAAAATTGTTGTGTTTTCCATTAATTAACAATCTGCAAGTTGAATTTTATCTTTAAGTCAAACAATATTTCAATGGCATTTTAGATTCGACTTAGGCAAGTTCAACTGTAGTAGATGTTATTGCAGTGTATTGTTGAGTTAAGAACTGTCAGAAATACCGTATTTACTTACTTGTTAAAGAAAGCCTCTCTCTTTTTTCTAAGATCATTCATATCAGGAGTAATAGGTGTTGTAGAGGTGCTTTCACTAGCTCCAAGCGAGTTGGTAGCTGAAATGAATTAAAAAATATCAAATCTTTATCCATCTATATTAGCCAATAAAATACAAAGGAATACAAAAATATATCAATACAGTAAGTAATCTAGGGAAGTAAAAAAATCTCTCAGAAACTAACTCATCTTCCACAAAATTATGTTATCTGTATGTTTTTACTACTTTATTATCAGTTGTCTACCAGAAATAATATCCATTTCTTTATCCATCTATATTAGCCAATAAAATACAAAGGAATACAAAAATATATCAATACGGAAGCAATCTAGGGAAGTAAAAAATCTCCCAGAAACTAACTCATCTTCCACAAAATTATGTTATCTGTATGTTTTTACAACTTTTTTATCAATTGTCAATTGTGATAGGTGTCACCATGCAAATTAAAATTATATGTGTTAATAAAACTCATTTAACCAGATCTCCCAGAAGTAATTCAATTCAATCTTTATTGGTCTAATATATTAAAAAATAATACATTATAAAATTCTTTGTTTAAAAACTACAATATATAAAATGTAGCCATAGTTACTGTGTCTCACACCCTAAGCTATATTCATGTCTCTAGACCAACGAGCCATAGTTACTATGTAATTTTGTAGGAGCTCTAGGAATACTCGGCTGACCGATAGACCTTTTTTTTCATATTTAGAGGGAAAAAAAATAACGTGCTCCTCCGGGAATTGAACCAGGTACCTCTTAAACCCTAAGCTACATTCATGCCTCTAGACCAATGAACCATAGTTGCTGTGTAATTCTGAAGGAATTCTCTAGGAATATTCGGCTGATTGATTATTTGATTGAGTTAATAGATCTTTTTTGTATGGGCATCTATTAGGGCCAACACACTCTAATGCATCTACATCAGAGCTTTCAGATTATGAGAACTTGTTTTCTGAGAGTATTTGTAAAGTCAGCTAAGCTCCTTGATTAAACCATACCCTGGGCTTTTGCCTGAGGAAAGACCATTGCATAAAAATCAGGCATAAAGTAGGGGATGGTTATAGTAAAAAAAAAATTTACAAACCTTGATCATTTTGGAGGCTCGTTTGTATTGCATGTTGTACAGACTCTTTATCTTCCTCTGGGTTATCCAGATACTTTTTACTGGCCTCCAGAGCTTGTTGAAGGTCCTCCTCTGAGAAACCATCTGTGCTTTTACTGGCCTTTGGATTGCTTTGAGTCTTGTCTGTCAGGTATACGGGTTTGGATCTTTGTACAGCTCTTACTAAGTTCAAAATGCTGTTGGCTTCACAATCTGGTAGATGTCCCCTTACAACAAATATTGAATAACCTAGAAGAGGAGTATAAATCAATTAGTTAATAATTAATAATCAACTGTATAAATACTGCTTAAATCAATGAGATAGTGTAAGTAATACTGACTAGTGTAAAGAATTAAACATTGACTTCCAAAACAAGTTTGTTATTTAGTATTCATATAGTGCCTTTCCTTTAGGTTATGAAGCGCTTCTTTTTCCCTGGTCATCAACATTAATAATCAACTGTCTAAATACTGGTTAAATCAATGAGATAGTGTAAGTAACATCATTCCTGATGATGACATAATTAATGTCGAAATATTGAATCCCAACACGATGGCGTGCATTTCTATCTACTATACTATCTTAACACTAGTGTAAAGAATTAAACATTGACTTCCAAAACAAGTTTGTTATTTGGCATTCATATAGTGCCTTTCCTTTAGGTTATGAAGCGCTTCCTTTTCCCTGGTCATTAACATTAATAATCAACTGCCTAAATACTGGTTAAATCAATGAGATAGTGTAAGTAACATCATTCCTGATGATGAAATAATTAATGTCTTTTCAAAGAGACAAGCAAAAGGCACAGCGAGGGATCGGAACCCTGACCTAGTAGTAAAACTTCTGAATGCAATATCTTACCTTCTTTTCTCAGTTGCGCTAAAAACATAGATAAATATGTATCGGATATTAATTCTGGTCCTGATAGAAGAGAGTTTAAATTAAACCACTGCTGACCAAGCTTTCTGATGGCTAACCAATGGTCTTTATAGTTACAAATAAAACATCTCTCTTTCCTGAAACAAAATAATTAAATAATAAGAGTTCAAGTGTAAAATTCTACATTTGTTTGAATTGAATTTATCAAATTAATAATTAAATTGAATAATGGTTTTGTATAAATGAAACAAATAATTTAAGAAAATGGAGATTCCATTGTAAATTAAATGTCAGTACTCATAACTGCGTGAATTCCTTTATAGAAAAAAACATACTGAATAAAATTATATTTATATTAAAGAAGGCAATTATAATGGCTAATATCCAAATATCCAATGGTAGAAGACAGGACAGTAACAATGGTGGCATCGGGGAGGGGGGAGAGAACCCTGGACCCCCATCAGGGAAGAAGCTAATGATTTCTTAAGGGGCACTGGTTTAAAAAATCACCTTTCAGTGCCATTTTGGGCATCTAAAGAGGCTTTTTAAAATTTACTCCAACCATGGTTGATCTGGAGTTGGTATGGACCCCGTCACAGATCTTGGACCTCATACTGGGCAATCTATGGCGCCACCAATGGACAGGAAGTTTCCAGCATGTAGATTGTACCCTTGAATATCTGATTGATTGATTGATTGATTGATTGATTGATTGATTGATTGATTGATTGAATGATCTGGAAAAAAATCTTTGAATATTGGTAAACTTACTCTGGACTGACTGTGGCCCCTACAGCATCCCTACTGGCAAAAGGCATTATTTCAAGGCCCCAAATTGTTAAAGCACCACTGATGACTTGAACAGAAAAATAACCACTATCATCCATGTTACTAGATGGTTGCTAAGAAAGAAAATAAACATCTTTGATGTCAATGGAGGATAAAATAATGAGACTATTAAATACATTTCTAGTGGCTGTTCATTACTACTAGTAATAAAATAGGTTTACCGTCATCACCACGACCATGGCATTAGCATCACAACCCTCGTCATTATTTATAGTCACTGACATCGCCATCACAACCATCATCACCACCACTATTATCATCGTCATCATCATCATCACCACCACTATTATCATCGTCATCATCATCACCACCACCATCATCATTATCACCACCATTATCATCATCGTCATCACCACTAGAATAATCATCACTGTCATCATCATCACCATCATCATCGTCATCACCATCATCTATGCAATTATTACATTACTCATCCCCTTCTGCAAAACTATCTTGAGAAGTATTGGTGCCTTTTACAGTGCAACACACCGAAATATATTTAAAAAAACATAAAAAAAGAAATGAAAAATAAGGAGAGTATATAGAATTATGGAAAGCACTACAAATTTTATGTTGACAGGTGATTGCAGAAGCACATTTTTTGAGGACAGTTCTATTACTTTTGCTAATCCTCGACAGCCCTTTAGATCAAGGTTAAATTTATTCAGTCATATACAAAAATACATAAAATGCATCTTTTGGGTAATTAACATAAAATATAAGCACATACTTAAAAAAACAAAACAAAAAACAGTAAAGATATTAGTACAACACATTCTTAACAACAACCTCTATCATATTGTTTTTTTTAATTGGATGAAGATTAAAAAATACAATTTTAAAAATAAAATAAAACACCTGTAAAAATTGCTGGTATTCCCGAGACGTCACATCTCCTTCAGCCATCTTCTCACGTTCTGCTTCATCTAGCTGTCGCGCAATATCTGCAAGATCCACCGCACTAAAATATTGTCCTATTAGATACGGAAAAAAAAAAAAAACACACAGCATGGGACAAATACATTAACAACAAGGAAATACATTTGTGAGATTTTTTATCTTGTTTTGTGTTTGGCTGCAAACACTAAAGTACAGATACTGTCATGAAAGAAGTATTGTTAATCTGTTAAAACCCTGAACACTCTGCGTATTGTAAAAGCCCTTTGCTTAAAAATGTACATGAGCACCAGTGCCCTTGACAAGCTCCATGTTCCCCCTCCTGCCAAGAGGAATATTAGATGTTTCACACTCAAAATTGTCATTATTCTTGCTTTACTTTAAGTGTGTACTGTACTGCATTTGTGGTACACATATTGTAAAATGGTACACTAGAAAAAGAATAAAAATATCAAAACCATAAATATTATTTTAAAAATCAAATACATAACAATGCAAGGAATACTGTTGGTGCTAGACCTTGTTAATTCTCTTGTGATTGTTTTTTTCTATGGAAAATTGATCCGAAATAAAAGTTGAATTGAAACACAAAATTGTGACTCACCTTGTAAGAGAGAATTTAAACAATGCTGAGCACATAGCGAGCCTTCTTGCTGCAACAAATTTAAAGGATCATGTGTTATTATATGCGATTGCATTTTAAATTATTTATATTGTACAATATTATTAAACAGCCTTTGAATAAATCAGCAGCTGATGATAAAATACTATACAAACATCTAATCATTGATTTTAATGTTAAAGTAATTTGAATAAAACAATGATGTAGTGATTGTTTACGCTGGTTATTGTTTACAGGTGTTGCGTGTATATTTTGAAAGACAATTGCTTAGGTGCGTGGCTGTTGTTGTGGTACGGGGCAGAACAATCAGAATGACTTCCTTAAACAGTAGCCACGGTGCTGTAAATTGTGAGTTGTAAAGTTGATGTATGTGTGCGGGATTAGGTCTAGGTATGCCTACTGTGCCTCACATTCTCCTGGCCTACCTTGATCTACGTTGCTCTCTAACTCACGTGCTGGTGATGCATAAGACAGATGTACCAGAATCAATCGAGCAAAAAGATTTATTAAGTTATTTACCATGTGTTGTTTACGTAAGTTGTTCTGTCTGTATTTAACTGATGTTTATTTTCATATATCTAATATTTATATAGCATTTAGATAAGGTATTGGATATTATGTGCAAGATTTTGTATTATAGATCATTGATGGTGAAAAGGACTGAGAGAAGAGAACTCGTAATCGTTTGTTGATGCAACTCATTTGTTTACACCAGAATGCAAGCATCTTGTCCTTAACAGAAGTTCGCAGGACTAGGATATACGACACGTTGCGGTCACACTGGAAACTGGACTGTTTGCTTGATAACTTGTTATTTTGACAGTGTTTTGCGTTAAAGACACTGTGTAACTGGGCGGAGCACAACATTGTTTACATTTTCAGAGTCTGTATTATATACATTCTGTTACTGTTATGCATAATTATTGAGATTCATGATTATTGTGTTATTGCTTTTAATGATGTTGGTTATTATATTTATTGACTTTTTTGGGGATTATTGATGTGTGTACAAGTCAAAAATGACCCTAATAATGTTAACATGCAATGTATTTGTTCGACGAAAGTCTGAAAATGGAAATAGATTTATAGAAGTGGTCTTTTATGATGACATTAAATGTACGATGTGCTAACAACAACAACAATAATAATCATAGGATATAACTTGAATTTTCCTTCTGTTGAGAATAGAGTTGGAGTTTATCACAAATATGCTGTGACAGCAAAAATACATTCTATTGATTTTTAATAAATGTTAATTCATTACTGACCCTTGATCCCAACATTATGTTTAGATTTGACTGAGCACTGAGATACTCATCAGGAATTTAAAATTCTACAAGAAATCACTAGGGGAAAAAAGTGTGCAAAATCATAACCTAACTACTCTACTACTACAGCATTGTTGGTACACAATTGTACTCTAGGATGTACCAAATTTTTTGCAATAAACAGAAATGTTTGTTGTGCTACTCCCTATACCCATACAGTATTGAATGAAAGATTAGCAGCACTCTAAATTAATGTAGTGATCATGAATGATGGGGAATTCCCTTTTTTGGTTCAAAAAACATTAATCATTCATTCTTCATACATGGAGTACTATTCAAATAAAACATAATTATTTTACTGCGATTATAAAAACAATGCTTAACTTCCATTGAACAACAAATGAAATAAGACAGTGTCTTACAGACAATGTTATACCTCTTTGGTTGCTGTGTACTCATTCAATTCATAGTTACACATGCCATTCGCATACCTCTTCCTACCGGCGGCCTGGCTCTGTTGTGACTGTCTGTCCTGTCTCATGATGACTCATCTCAGAATGTGCCGGCTTAGCCTACCTACCTACCTAGCCTAACGATTGTCCAAATGATTGCCAGAAAGCATAAATCAAATATTAATTCCTGCAGAAAAAAAAGTTATCAAACAACAAGAAAGACATGAAAACAAGGTCTGATTAGCTTACTTTTTCATGAAAAATCGAATTCATCGGATCGTCCATGGTGTTTACATGAAGGTGGCGATGGAGTGTTTATGGATTCAACCATTTGATAAAAAGACTGCGTCAGTAAATACATTAATGACGATATAACCATAATTAAAATAGTTTGTATTTTTTATTATTAAACAATATCAACACATATTTTTTTCCTGTTTGTTTACATATACTATATCAGATGTAAACGTAACAAATTTTAATTAATTCAAAAATGAACACGTCTATTCAATTTATAATGGAAAAGGCTTTTTGAACTTTGAACTATTTTTGCATCCAATAAGAATGAACGAATGCAATTAAATGTCCAATCAAAATACAGATTGAACGCGGCTTCTTTAAAACGCACTTTGCACATGAAACAAAAACATTTTCGAAGATTCTGTCATATTTTGGTGAGTTTAATCAGGTTTAATGTCATTGTTATTACGTTTTTAATTCATATTTAGGCCGAATATTTAGGTATGAAACATATTGTTAAACAACTGTTAAAGACACATTTTAGCCCTAAGACCTTAGCCTAAGCTACCTTCTTTGCTTTTCTACTAGCTTTTGTCTGCGTAGCCTAGCTAGGCTAGTAGTAGAAAGGCCTAGCCTATCACCGTCGTCGGCTGTTGAACCACGCAGACACGGCGGTGTAGGTCTAGGCCTATGTCTCAAACAAGCTGCTTCTTGCAAGGAGGTTGTTATTGACTTTTTCGTAGAGCCGAGGCCAGTAGGCCTTGCTTTTTTTCCCAAGCTCACTTTATTTTATTCATTAAAAATAAACATTCATATGTAAATGAAGAAACTGTATAGCCTATAATAGGCATACAGGCTTAGGAGGGCTATATAAACAGATTTCACCAATAACCATATTATTATTAGAGCAGGAGCCCAGGGGTGTTAGCATAGCTGGAAAGTTAATATTAATAATGGTCACATTGGGGAGAAAAAATAATATTTTCTACTAATAGACTAATAAAAAATTGATTGAATAAGCCTTTGAAACCACTAAATTGTCTTTTTTTTTTGGTGTGGGGGTGGGGGCTTCCCCCTGGACCACTTTTGAAAGGTTTTTACTAGCGATGCCCGACCGCTACTATAAACAACCGAAACAACAGCACTTAAATGGGTTGTCCAGTGTTTGCGAAGGAGCAAGGCACAGACAATGGCTGAGAACTACACTTCATCCAATGGCCTTAACAAACCTTCACTTCGTATCACTATTTGTAATTCCAACTGGAAATTTAGTAGAAAGAAGCTTTTTGCCATCAGTATGTCACGGTTAAACAATGCATGTAATGTCTCTGCCGGCATCTGCAAAACGAACAACTCGCTACCAGAAACTTGATGACATCATACATTACAATTTTAGGAAATCAGAGAAATAGACCGGAAAAATAACATTTTGGCATATTTGCCAGCGCCAACATAATAAACACTCCCTATATTTTTTCTTCGTTCGGAAAAAGCTGGAAACATGTACATAAAGTTTTTTTGAGAATAAGATGTTTATCAAGGGCGGATCAAATTTTTTCTTTGGGGGATGGGGACGAAAAAAAGGGCTTCCAAAACTTTCAGATGGCCAGACCACCATACAAGACTGTAAAATAAGGCCTGGGAATATATCCTCCATGCAAAAATTAGTCCATATATCATCAAAGTGATCATATGTCTAATAAATTAGCTGGAAAAATATGTAAACTTGTCGATGCCACTGTGCAGCATTTTTTCTTGACTACGCCAAGTGTGAGTTATTTCGTCTGCTTTTTGCATTTGTTGGTATATGTTCAAAGCGTGCCCCCCCCCCCACTTGTGCCGCTCGTTTATACTACCGGCAACATAACAAACATACATACTTCATTTGTAGGTTATTGTCTAGGTGTGTTTCTTCTCTGAACTACCAGCCGTTGAGTCTGGTTCTACAATGTATATCAAAGAAGTTATAAACGCTAGAATGTTACCAGATTTTGACAAGTACAGTATACTCGTCCCTGGTGTCCTTAGCAACACCCGGTGGGCAAGTATACTCATCGCTGGCAGCCAACATGTTAATAGCAAATTCTAGTCTTCGGTTAAAATGCAGCTTTCCTTTTAATATACTAAGTAAGCCAAATGTCTATTCAGATGTTTCTATTTTTATTAATACGACAGAGTCACTATGCCGTCTAAGCTGGAAGATTATGAAATTCTGTACAAGATTGGTAGTGGGTCGTATGGCACCTGTAAGAAAATACGAAGAAAAGCTGATGGGAAGGTTGTATTACTTCATATATTTCATAGCTAATAATAAACAGGACCTTTAATTTATGTAGACAGGGTTGTACAATAGCTGTAAAAACCTAAGGAGGGTGATAGACATTTTAAGGGTGGGTGTACTGTAAATAATAAGAGTGGATTTTAAGGATGGAAAAGTGCGTTAACAAGGGTGGGTGGTGGGCGATGAAATTAGCTTTAGACTGGGTGGAAAACCCACCAATAATAACTACATCCCTGTGTAGCTGATATTGAATTCAGATCAAACAAGGGTTCCAAGGTGAAAATAGCATTCTTAAATTTGACTATCATTGTTTAAAATATTTAAATGGTAGTGTATATTTAGTATAATAACAATTGATCAATATTTTTATTATTATTAATTATTAAAAATAGACCTTTTTAATATCTTTCCTGATGTTGTTAATACTGTCTTTAACAATTATTTGATTTTTCATTATGTGCGAAGATTTTGCTTTGGAAGGAAATGGATTATGGAACCATGACAGAAACCGAAAAGCAGATGCTTGTATCAGAAGTAAATTTATTAAGGGAATTAAAACATCAGCACATAGTTCGCTATTATGACCGTATTGTTGATCGCAGCCATTCCACCATATACATTGTTATGGAGTTTTGCGAGGGCGGTGATCTGTCAGCGATTATTTCCAAGTGTAAAAGAGACAGGTATAGTACATCCCAATTTCATTTGTACAAAAGTAGTAATGTAATAAAAAATGTCTGAGGCCCCTGGTTAAGGCTTGTTCAATCTTACTACCCTGGATTAAAAGCGTTGTCTGCTTTGGTGTATTTTGATGGAGTATTTTTGTACATGTTAGTGCTCCAATTCGGCCAATATATGATGCTGATACCAATATAAAATGCTGATAAATATCCCAGGGCCCTTTAATGTGGTCAAAGATGAGACCACATAGAGCCTGTATATACCACTGTAGGTATACATGGTTGTGTTGTGTGATTTGAGGCTATAGTTTAAATCCATCTGAAAACGTCACCTAACTAGTATAATCCTGACGTTGTGTCACTTGAACTGTCACATTAACGAACTTGTATCGATAAAAATAGCATTAATCGGAAAGTTGTTATTAGAAATATAGGTGGATTTAAGTGAGGGCTCAGGCCCTGCCTAAATTTTTGAAAATTAAAAAAAGGTGGAGTTAAATTTAAATTTATTATGAAATTAACATAATGAAGAAGATTACAACCCAGGTAACAATCCCACATGGGGCCCATATGCAAAATATCTGGGAAATGTCTTGTGGGGTACCCCATATTTTTCCCTTATTGGATCCGTCTGGGCAATCACATATGGGCCTTGCCCATGGTTTACCCATATGGAGCCCATATGCCAAATATATAGGCAAATATATATGGGAATGCCCATATTTTAAAGTACATGGGCCCCATATGGTAAATACCTGGGCAGATAAATATGGGCTTCCCACTGATAGATTGCCATTTTTTTTTTATAATAAAATACTGAAGTAAATATATAAATTAGCAAAAAGTAGGCTTATGTAGTATAATAATTTATGTTCATATTTTCTGGATGAGAAAAGAAAAAAATGCATGTAATTAACATTTAGTCTTCTAATTATAATTTTCTTTCAAAGGAAATACTTAGAGGAAGATTTTGTGTGGAAGATACTGTCACAAACTACATTAGCTTTGCAAGAATGCCATAGAAGGGGCTCTGGGCGTGCGATTTTGCATCGAGATCTGAAGCCAGCCAACGTGTTTCTTGATGCTAATCACAATGTCAAATTAGGTGATTTTGGATTGGCTCGTGTCTTGTCACATGACACTAGTTTTGCAAAAACATTTGTTGGAACGCCATATTACATGTCCCCGGTAAGTACTGCTGTAATGGTGAGACTATAAAATTCGTTTTTGAGAGAAAAATACATAGGCATATGTCCCCATTTGGATTACTGTTTGGATATTCTGCCTACTGATCGCAAATATTATTGAGGTGTTCTCCATATTATTATTAAATTTATTATCCTATGATTTACTATTAATCATTGTGTATTATGCAATATCTTAAAGTGGGTTGGGTCGGATTTGTAGTATCTAAGGTTATACTGTATAGCAGTTGGCCTGATAGCTACGTTGGTATACTTTTCGAACAGTAATGGGAAGGTCTTGTGTTTGAATCCCAATGGTGCTGTGGCACAGACAAACCAAACCAGTCACTCGTCACATCCTGTATCAGAGGTAATGTCCAAAACATGCTGCAATGTCAACATTTTTGAAATCTATTTTATTCCATTAAACAATGGAGGTATGATATGATATCATGCCCAAATATGGATGTGATGTGTCATCATCATGTCCATATATGTGCAATCCATACAAATTTGCAGGGATGTAGTTATGGTGGGCGGAGGTGGATGGGCCCACCCAGCCTTGAAGTTTTCCACCCAGTCTAAAGCTAATTTCATGGCCCTCCACCCACCCTTATTAACCCACTTTTCCATCCTTAAAATCCACTCATTATTTAGAGTGTACCAATGTTATCGCCCACCCACCCTTAAAATGGCTGTCACCCACACTTAGTTTTCTACAGATACAACCCTGAATTTATCATATAAAATTTGATAGTGTAGATAGACCTTAACACATTCATTATCCAACAGGAGCAAATGAATCACCAGTCCTATAATGAGAAGTCTGACATATGGTCTCTGGGCTGTCTAATCTATGAACTGTGCGCATTAAGGTTTGTTCTACAAAATTATATTATTTTTTAAAGATAATGAAAACTGAGAAATTATCGAGCACTGTTGTCCATAAATATCATTAAAATTGGGGAATTAATGCGGACGCGAGGGTGAAGTCGAAGGTCTTACTGATTAAGTGAAGGGGTTGCATCTTGCAAAATAAGGGTTTTTTTTTTAATTAGAGGATGCAGGGCAAAGGTTTAACCCCATAGCAAGACCCTGCAAAGGATGGGCCTGATGTTGTATGCCCAAAACAAAGCCAGGGGCTGTAGCCGGCTTGCATTGAAGGCTGAAACATAAGCTGAGCCACTTTTACAGCCCATCCATTTTGCCAATTATTGATGAGATTTTAGACTATTTTTTGGTTCAAAAACATCCAGCAAGGAGGTGGGGGGTGATGACTGAGGGGAGGCACAAGCTTTTATGGGAGCGTACGCACCCCAATAGATACGCCATTGATTACCATTGTTGTTGTTGCATTGTTGTTGTTGTTACACACTTTGCAGGTATGGCACGACTCGGCACTGAGTGTTCATTATCAATAACGATATTAATTGAATTTATTAATAATGATTGACTTTTTCTTTAGTCCACCATTCACAGCTGTCAATCAAAAGGCACTTGCTGTCAAGATCAAAGACGGAACTTTTAAGAGTATACCGCATCAATACAGTGCAGACTTAAATACGCTCATCTTCCAAATGTTGAAAGTAAATGTAAGATATCAACAAAAATTACTTTGCTAATTAATATTTATTTTTTAGTATATTTGTATAGTTCAGTGCATCTTCCCTGTTCAAGACCACTTTGATTTGAAACCATGTTTTCAAAGAACCAAAAAACAATCTTCAATCTATCAACACTAAGCTAACGCCCTAAGTTGAGACTAAACCCCAAGACACCCCCCCCCCCCATTTTCAGGTCCCAAAAGTGATCTTGTATTGGAGGATGAACTGTATGTACCACTAACTGACATTGCATTTTGCTTTTTTGGCAAATAAAGTTTAAGAATAAGAACTTTATTACAGTGTGGATTAAGGAAATAAAATTAATATACAACATATTAATCAACAAATATAGGTTGAGAAATTTTGATTTCAAGGTTCAGAAAAGATTTTAAGACACTTTTTAAACAATGACAGATGAGTAGGCATAAAATATGTAATTTTTATTTTATTTCTGTTATGTATTTGGGTACTCACCTGCCTTAACTTGTACACATAAAAAATGTTTATATACCAGATATAAATTCATTAAAGAATTAATAGCACCATTGACTTGCTATTTAAAAATAGATATAGATTCAATGTCTCAATTATCTTTTTAGTCCATACTGCGTCCAAGCATTGAGGAGATACTTAAACATCCTAGACTATCATCGATCAGGAAGGAGAAAGATAAAAGGTCCTCATCTCAACCTGAATTGCAACAGCAGGAGGATGAGTTATTAAAATCAAGAGAAAAACAGATTGAGGAACGGGAAAGGAAATTAGAACAACGTGAAAGAGAACTGGAAACAAAGGAAAAAGCACTTAGTATCAAAGAAAAGCTAATAGATGGAAAATTTGAAAGGCAAGTAAAATTGAAATATTTTATGGCTTTAGAAACACATGTTTCAGGGGCAGATCCACAGAAAAATCTTGGTAGGGGAAACTGAGTTGGGGTAATGTTTGAGATTTTTTTATAAATGGCCATAGACACTGGTAATGGAATTTGAATGAAAAGAATGTCCTGTTTTTTAATACTGAGCTTATTTTCCTGTTTCTTTTCTTCTCTCTCTCTCTTTCTTTTTTTTTTTTTGGTGGGGGTGGGGGAGATAGTCCTAGGGGCCCCTGGTAATTTATGATAAATATCAAACTTGATACGGCAGAATCTGAAAGAGTTATAGAAAATTCCATTCACATTCTAAATAACTACCATTAAAAGATTAAGTGGGTTTCTTCACTATTTCCAGTACAAATTTCTTTCAGGAGTCTCATGTTTGTGAAAGTTAAATGTTAATACATCTGATTGTACATTTCATTTGTTGTGCAATGTGATATTGTGATACCCAATGGCTAGTTAGCTTCAAGGTGACAGTCAGTAATACAGTAGTAAAAAGGCAAACATCATCATGAATTTGCGGAAGATAAATTTTGTTTTATTTTGGTGCAAGTTGTTTTTGAACTTTATTGTTCTTGGGTGTACCATCAAAGTGATGGGTGCCGCTGATCTGAAATTTAACCCTATGAATCGTATCGTATCGCCAATAGCAAAATAAATCACTTTCTACATGGCTCTCCAACCCCCATCCAACAAAATAAAATACAAATAATGTGTCCATAAAATTTATATAAATATTACCATAAAAAAAAAATGTTATACTTGAATTAAGGTATCCAGTTATAAAATGCATTAAAATTTAATTCCTGTACAGGGAATTAATAAAAACGTATTATAAAAATTACCATAAAAAGGTAAAAAGAGCAAAAATATCCATTGCGTGCGCATTGTGACGTTGCATTCTCCATTGAATTTCGTCCGCCGACAACCTTCGGGAGCAGTTAGTGTCCAGCTTAAGAGGACACCTGGGACTCCCTCCTATACAAGGGGTGGATCCAGAGATGTTCAAAAGGGGGGGGGGGAGACGAAAGTTGGGCCGATCGAGACACTGTCCTATGGGGTCCGGGGGCATTCCGCCTGCAAAATTTTTGTGTTCTGGACACCGGGCTGCCCCACCACCCCAAATCCGCCCCTGTATACACTGTACTAGTTACAGTAGAGGTCGGCTCTGCTTGATCAACTACCTTTTTAAAAATATTGTTATGTTACAAATTTGAAAATTTCATTTTTTCCAGTAGGGCTGAAGCGATGTTTAAGCAATGCCAAGCACTGAAGACAAACAACCGTGTTCATGAACTGAAGTCCGAGAAAGGTATCTCTTACCCTAAGAAGGTTTTAGATGATGTTTATCATCCAAAAGTTCAAAGGCTACGCCAATTGCCCCCTCTGTATCCTAGGCAACCATTAACCAATAATAATTATAAATATGTTTGAAGCAAAACTTGAAATACCCAGCAATACTGCTACAAACTATTTCTTACCAGCCGCATGGTTCCTATAGGATCTGGCCAATATTTCACGGGAAGTTTGTTTAGTTTCTTATTAATGCATTTCTATTATTTTTAATCCTTTTTTTGGAAAACATTTACTTTTGCATTATAGCAAATTTGCATGAAATCCAGGGTATAATCATGGTTGTACAATATTTCGGTAGTATGTATAAAAATACAATTCAAAATTTATTATGCAGCGCCATATTTATTATCATATAGCATATTAAGAAGAAATAGTATATTTTTATACCACCATCATACAAACATTAAACTATAGAATATTTTATACTTTTCTTTTTTTTTTTAAGTATGTTTAAAAACAATATTGAAAATATATATTTATAAAAGATTTAAGGAAGTATGCTTATATTTTATTATTAGTATTACAGTATTAGCCATATGGGACTTCTTCATGTCACCTTGTATCAGCCCATTTAAAAAAAAATAGATTATCTTAAGTCCACAGATATTGAATAATGTTTGAAAGTATTGAAAGTTTTTTTTTTTTATATAATATAGTACTGTTAATTAAATATATATATGTGTTGTGATTGTCTAGTTGTGAATGTACAATTTACTGTTATACAAGAAAAAATATATAGTTATGTCTTAATGTGAGATTGTGTATTTGTGAAAGTAATATATATACCATTATCAAAGAAAGGAAAAGAAATATGTATGTAGGTAATGTGAGATTGTGTTTTCGTGAATGTATTTTATTAGTGAAGTTGTGCTGAAAATGATTAAAATAAAATCCTTTCCTTGTTAGTAGTGTTCATGATTCTTTTTATAGAGTTCACTGCTTTCAAATAATGATGTCCATAAAGAAGTGTAAAGCCCTTCCCTGTCCACACTTTCAAAAAACAAAAGTGACATACCTAAATATGGACATGATGACATCACATCATGACCATATATGGGCATACAACAGTTAACGATCTGGACAGAGCATAAAATAGGAAATAGGAACATAGAAAAAATAATTAGATTATCGCTCTTTAAAAAAAATAATGTGATGAGGTTGGGCGTTTTTTTTTTTTTTAATAATAGAATATTGCTTTTTTTTTTTATTGTTGGGGGGGAATTACCGCAAAAATATCCATTGCGTGCGCATTGTGACGTTGCATTCTCCATTGAATTTCGTCCGCCGACAACCTTCGGGAGCAGTTAGTGCCCAGCTTAAGAGGACACCTGGGACTCCCTCCTATACCTGTCTCTTATACACATCTAGATGTGTATAAGAGACAGCATCAATACAGTGCAGACTTAAATACGCTCATCTTCCAAATGTTGAAAGTAAATGTAAGATATCAACAAAAATTACTTATTAATTTTACTAATTAATATTTATTTTTTAGTATATTTGTATAGTTCAGTGCATCTTCCCTGTTGAAGACCACTTTGATTTGAAACCATGTTTTCAAAGAACCAAAAAACAATCTTCAATCTATCAACACTAAGCTAACACCCTAAGTTGAGACTAAACCCCAAGACACCCCCCCCCCAATTTTCAGGTCCCAAAGGTGGTCTTGTATTGGAGGATGAATTGACATTGCACTTTGCTTTTTTGGCAAATAAAGTTTAAGAATAAGAACTTTATTACAGTGTGGATTATAATAAACTCCACTTTTAAAAAAGTGTTGAAGTTGTAGAAAAATAACAACTGTGAAATATGTAACAAAGATAAAATAAAGGTCAGGAAATAAAATTAATATACAACATATTAATCAACAAATATAGGTTGAGAAATTTTGATTTCAAAGTTCAGAAAAGATTTTAAGCCCTTTTTAAACAATGACAGATGAGTAGGCATAAAATATGTAATTTTTATTTTATTTCTGTTATGTATTTGGGTACTCACCTGCCTTAACTTGTACACATAAAAAATGTACACATATTAAAAATTACAGAATTAATAGCACCATTGACTTGCTATTTATAAATGGATATAGATTCAATGTCTCAATTATCTTTTTAGTCCATACTGCGTCCAAGCATTGAGGAGATACTTAAACATCCTAGACTATCATCGATCAGGAAGGAGAAAGATAGAAGGTCCTCATCTCAACCTGAATTGCAACAGCAGGAGGATGAGTTATTAAAATCAAGAGAAAAACAGATTGAGGAACGGGAAAGGAAATTAGAACAACGTGAAAGAGAACTGGAAACAAAGGAAAAAGCACTTAGTATCAAAGAAAAGTTAATAGATGAAAAATTTGAAAGGCAAGTAAAATTCAAATATTTTATGGCTTTTGAAACACATGTTTCAGGGGCAGATCCACAGAAAAATCTTGGTTGGGGAAACTGAGTTGGGGTAATGTTTGAGATTTTTTTTTTATAAAGGCCATAGACACTGGTAATGGAATTTGAATAAAAAAATGTCCTGTTTTGGAGTGCTGACCCTCTTTAACCTTTCTTTTCTCTCTCTCTCTTTTTTTTTTGAGGGGGAGGGGGAGATAGTCCTAGGGCCACCCCCTGGTAATTTATGGTAATCAAATATCAAACTTGATACGGCAGAATCTGAAGGAGCTATAGAAAATTCCATTCACATTCTAAATAACCACCATTTAAAGATTACGTGGGTTTCTTCACTATTTCCAGTGCAAATTTCTTTCAGGAGTCCCATGTTTGAGAAAGTTAAATGTTAATACATCTGATTGTACATTTCATTTGTTGTGCAATGTGATATTGTGATACTCAATGGCTAGGTGGCTTCAAGGTGACAGTCAATAATACAGTAGTAAAAATGCAAACATCATCATGAATTTGCGGAAGATAAATTTTGTTTTATTTTGGTGCAAGTTGTTTTTGAACTTTATTGTTCTTGGGTGTACCATCAAAGTGATGGGTGCCGCTGATCTGAAATTTAACCCTGTGAATCGTATCGTATCGCCAATAGCAAAATAAATCACTTTCTACATGGCTCTCCAACCCCCATCCAACAAAATAAAATACAAATAATATGTCCATAAAATTTATATAAATATTACCATAAAAAAAATGTTTATACTGTACTTAGTTATAAAATGCATTAAAATTTTATTCCTGTACAGGGAATTAATAAAAAAGTATTATAAAAATTACCGCAAAAATATCCATTGCGTGCGCATTGTGACGTTGCATTCTCCATTGAATTTCGTCCGCCGACAACCTTCGGGAGCAGTTAGTGCCCAGCTTAAGAGGACACCTGGGACTCCCTCCTATACAAGGGGCAGATCCAGAGATGTCCAAAAGTGGGGGGGGACGAAAGTTGGGCCGATCGAGACACTGTCCTAGGGGGTCCGGGGAATTCACCCTGCAAAATTTTTGTGTTCTGGACACCGGGCTGCCCCCCCCCCCTCAAATCCGCCCCTGTATACACTGTACTAGTTACAGTAGAGGTCAGCTCTGCTTGATCAACTACCTTGTTAAAAATATTACAAATTTGAAAATTTTATTTTTTATTTTTTCCTGTAGGGCTGAAGCGATGTTTAAGCAATGCCAAGTACTGAAGACAAACAACCGTGTTCATGAACTGAAGTCCGAGAAAGGTATCTCTTACCCTAAGAAGGTTTTAGATGATGTTTATCATCCAAAAGTTCAAAGGCTACGCCAATTGCCCCCTCTGTATCCTAGGCAACCATTAACCAATAATAATTATAAATATGTTTGAAGCAAAACTTGAAATACCCAGCAATTTGAAAACTGCTACAAACTATTTCTTACCAGCCGCATGGTTCCTATAGGATCTGGCCAATATTTCACGAGAAGTTTGTTTAGTTTCTTATTAATGCATTTCTATTATTTTTAATCCTTTTTTTGGAAAACATTTACTTTTGCATTATAGCAAATTTGCATGAAATCCAGGGTATAATCATGGTTGTACAATATTTCGGTAGTATGTATAAAAATACAATTCAAAATTTATTATGCAGCGCCATATTTATTATCATATAGCATATTAAGAAGAAATAGTATATTTTTATACCACCATCATACAAACATTAAACTATAGAATATTTTATACTTTTCTTTTTTTTTTAAAGCATGTTTAAAAACAATATTGAAAATATATATTTATAAAAGTATTGCAAGTTTTTTTTTTATATAATATAGTACTGTTAATTAAATACATATATGGATATGTGTTGTGATTGTCTAGTTGTGAATGTACAATTTACTGTTATATAAGAAAAAATATATAGTTATGTCTTAATGTGGGATTGTGTATTTGTGAAAGTAATATATACCGTTATCAAAGAAAGGAAAAGAAATATGTATGTAGGTAATGTGAGATTGTGTTTTCGTGAATGTATTTTATTAGTGAAGTTGTGCTGAAAATGATTAAAATAAAATCCTTTCCTTGTTAGTAGTGTTCATGATTCTTTTTATAGAGTTCACTGCTTTCAAATAATGATGTCCATAAAGAAGTGTAAAGCCCTTCCCTGTCCACACTTTCAAACAACAAAAGTGACACACCTAAATATGGACATGATGACATCACATCATGACTATATATGGGCATACAACAGTTAACGATCTTGACAGAGCATAAAGGAACATAGAAAAAAATAATTAGATTATCGCTCTTTAAAAAAAATAATGTGATGAGGTTGGGCGTTTTTTTTTTTTTTTTTAATAATAGAATATTGCTTTTTTTTTTTATTGATGAGGGAGGGACTGTTCTTATTTGGCAAGAATATTTTAAATCTTTTATAAAAACTGGTTTGATTTTATTATTTTTGTTTAAAGAAAGTGGTTTTCCTGTCACAAAATTGTGCTTGTTTTTTTAAGCTGTTGAAATAAATGATGCGGCAAAAAAAAATTTATTCACGCATCAATATTTCCCTAATTTTTGACGCAGGCAGGAATGATAATCTAACAATTTTTCTACGTGGTCCAAGGGTGTGATTTCTTTCTATCATACATGCTGTCATATACTTATAAGATGAACAGAATGTTTAAGGATGTATTATACTTAATAATATCAAGAATATAGCAAATAATCATTAAGACTTGCAGTACAAGGCTTCTACTATAATGCAACTTAATTTGAGCAAATGAACAAACATAGTTGTACCCTATAGAACATCAACTTCATTCTGAATTCATCTGATAAAAACCTGACAGGTATGACACAGAAAGCACATGAAAACTAAATATACTGTATCTAATGTTAATTGTTACATATCTTTTATTTTCAATAATAGTGTTTACAGATGAGATATACCCAAATGGTGTACTGAAGACAAAGGATTCTCCGAAGAAGGTTCATTTTAAAATGCCAGGCAAAGAAAATGAAACCCATGAAAACACAAAGATGTCTAAAGCACTGCAAGAACGACTTCAGAAAGCGAACCAAAGGACCGACGCTTTAAGAAAACTAGAATTAATTTCCAAGATGAAAAGTAAAAGATTACTAGCAATGAGATAAGAAACAAAGAGACAAATCAATTAAAGATTTAATGATTTTAATCAAGCAAACATGAGCAGGCTAGATGATAGTTTTATAGCAGGTACTTCCATGGATATTCTACCACATGGTTATTAACATTTTATAGGAATATTCTATTTTATTAACAAAATATAACATAATAAAACTTGATAAGCATTATTGCTTATTACCAGTAGAATCACATCCAGGAGAAGCGACCTCTTGTGATTGATGGTCAACTAAAAATTTACAATATTGATATTTTTAAGGTAATAATGATTAAAATTTTTTGTAACATTTTGTATATTATCTTTATTATTGGTTTAGTAAATCGGTGTTGAGTACAGTTCTTTATGCAACTACCATATCTGGATGGTTGTGTATACAGTACAGTTGCATGTATATTTTAATGTCAAATAAAAGTAATATCTGTAACTGTTGTCTTCATTATTTTGATATGCAAATCCTCTCCATCAGAAGTATTTTAAATCTGGAACCTACATCCCATAGCTACTGCAGCAGCACCGGTCTTGTGTTTTTAATTCAAAATATTTGTCTCATCAACTACAGTATATATTGAAAACCAAACTCGGCAATCACACGATTCCATCATTACGGATTGTTTTAAGAATATGTATTAATTCCTGTTCGTAGTTTTCTAGTTGTATGTACACTGTAACTTCCATTTATAGTAATGTCACACAAATTATTTAAATTCTACTTGGACTTCCAGGGATCTTTTTCATCAGATCTAAGTTCTCGTCTGAATAATTGTGTGCGATTCTTCCAACTACTTAAATCTTCTGTAGCTTTCTGGTCAAGGTAATATCCAAGGATGCAAAATGCTGGAAAAATAGTGACCCATGCGTAATTCCGGATGAAGTGAAAAACCATTTTGAAAGTCTGAAAAATATTAAATTACAAAAACATCAGAACATAATAAGCTAAAACTGTGACTACTGCAGCATAATTGAGGCATGTCGTGGTCGCACAGGCCAGTATTGAGTAAATGAGCTATAAAATATGGGAGCTCAAAAAATCTAAATTTGTTTTTCACTATAGATCAACAGTTTAATGTTTATAAATCATGTCCCAAAGTATTAGTTCTGGAAGTGGTAAACAAATTGTTTATTTAACATTATTTAGATACAGTAGTTAATTCCATTAAACAATGTATGCACAAATAACAGTACTCAAAATCATGTTTATCTTGACTCTAAGAGTGCTGTACTTTCACATTCCATTAACTTGGGCTTTAAATGTCCAATTTCAATGAATGACCCCTCATTTTAAAGATCACATACTCGGGTATCTGAAAATACCAATAACTTGAATTTCAATTTTTGCTACAACTTAGACATTTTGCCACAACATGCCTCAATTGTTGGGAACTAACGTTTTATAAATGTGCTAAAGAACAGGCCTTCCAAAGTGTCAAACTTTACAGTAACAACCGACCAACCAGAAAGGGGCCAGGAATACGGGTACTGTACAAGCGTCTCTCGCAAACACACATGTTGTCCCACAAATGCACATTGCATATGCCTTTACTTTGTCGTGCAAGGTAGTGGGACCTTAGCAACAATATCCAAGGGGTGGAGCTTAGAAGAAAGGTCCATTAAGGCAAACAATAATTCATCATTGTACACTACTACAATTAAAGCCAGTTTTCTACTAAGCAAATTTATTCACTCAAAAGCATTGACCGTACGCATGTGCAGTGTAATTTATGCGCTTGCCCTTCACCAGATTGTTTGCTTTTTCGCTTGTGGTGGTTTGCTTCAAGTTGAGTTTAAACAGTTCCTACTGTTTCCAAAGCGAAGTCAATCAGAGCTTGGAAAATCACAGAAACGAATGACCGAGTGAATGTGCCATCATGGCATGCCCCATAATGTAAAGTACTTTAATTTTGCGGGGATGCATCAAAAACTAGATAAAATTTACGCATGCTGTACAGTATAATCGCTAGGAAGATATGTTTGTAGTATTGTAGCAACTGCATAATAGATCATGTTATAATTTGAGAGACAGGCAAAGGCCTAATTTCCGGTTAAATATGCACACATTATTTTCAGAAATATATGAATGGATTCCTAGGCCTATTTTTGAAGAGGAGGAAATTATTCCCTGCACAGGCATTATTGCAACAGTTCAGCGCACACCGACAAATAAATGACGAAGTCACTGGCACCAATGTTGGTGAAAAATAACAAATCGTTCGCACAATTACAGTAGCGAAAAGTACACAAAAAATTATATCCACTGACCAAAACAAGCATGACCAATTGGTGAGTTTGGAAACAACATTTGCATTATTAAAATTTTGATTAAATTTCAGCAAATAAAAATTATAATATTTACCCACATGAAGTAAAAAAATAATTGTAGGCTAAGAAAATTCAAAAACGGGATGAAAATATTTTTTTTTAACGAAAAACCCATACTGTCACAAGTTGAAGCAATCCCTGACTAAGCAACGTGTACTGTGGTAACCATGCAGCCATTTTTTTTTTCAAGTATTTACAAGTTTTCTATTCGACTGGTCATCTTCCTTAAGTAGGATTTTACCACTGTGCAGGTCGGCGTAGTTTAACAAAGACCGACCAGTCGAATACGGCCATCGATGTGAGTAACTTTGATTTTATTAAGGAAAATATACACTATCACTTTGTAAAACGTGCGTGACTTTTTTCAAGGTAATAATTGGTAAATGATGATGTCATAAGGGGAAAAAACCATTCGTAAAATCAACTATTTATAAAATATTAGTCTTTGATGTCTTCATTTTTTTTATGAGAATGAGTTATTTTTTTAAATTTTTTATTTAAATTGCAAATGTTTTTAACATACCACTGTTAGTTTTTTGAAGGTAGGAATTCCATCTTTCGAATCGGAAATTATTGAAGAACATCGTCCTAGGCCTAGTTTTTGTTTTATAGTAATACTCAATCATAGTAGAGGAAAAGGCCCCATGTGACCACGATTATTTTCCGATATGGTCACACTTTAGTATTCAGGATTTAGAAAACTGCCTTGCCTTGCCCTCTTGTTTGTGGCTTGGTCTTTATTTGTAAATAAATTTAGAATCTTAAAATGACCTATAGTAGGCCTTCAAAAACAAATTAGGCCTAGCTAGGTTAAGGCCTAGGCCTAGATCTAGTTTACCGGCGAACCGGCCAAGGGTCTATCTAGCTAGGCTATTAGTAGTAGGTAGGGCCACCAGGGCCCTGGCCTAGGCCCTCTATCTACGTTGGCTAGGCGTAGGGCATAGCCTAGTTAGGCCACTATATAACAACTCCCTGCCTAGGCCTAGAAAATTAAAACTTTTGAATTCGATATGTGCCTATTGCAATACAACTGGTGATTTTTAATGAAAAGTAAATCCATAGTTAAAAGCCAGCAAGTACATTTCTACAGTAAATGAACTTACCGGTACAGTACCTCGTAAACCTGAAATTAATCGATCAAAAACTGATTGACCGCGGTCGACGGATTGAGTGACCTCTAAGTGAACCTTTTATGACCCTAATCACAACGTGCTCTGTTTAAATAACAAATCGTCTTGCAATATTTTCCAGAAAATTAATTATTTGACTTAAAATATTCATGTAAAATTATTATTATTATTGAATAATATTAATAACATAATACAGATTCAAGCCTAGCTATATTTAGTATGTAATACTTTAGGGCCTTCCATTTTAATACATTTAGAAAGGTAGAGTAAAGGTCATTTCACAATAAAAGATCCACAGGCAGAAACAAAATTATATTCTGATATTTGTCGCTTTGTTTTCTTCTAATCGAAGTACATTTTTAGAGACTAGGAGAGAAATATGGCTGATGCTAATGGTTCTGAAGGAAGCCCGGTAGTGGCAAATAATCAAAACGAACAAGTAAGTGCTTCCATTTTTTAGGGTAGACCTAGTTTTTTGGGCTCCGTCCTCCTCGTCTAGAAAGCATTTCAACTCGGCCCCAACCAAGTCAATGGTGTCAACTCGGCCCTCAGTGAACTCGGCCCCAAAATTAAAGTTTTTCTTTATTTTTATTATGCCCGCCGCTGCCTTTAAATCTCCAAAATTAGATATGTATGTTTCTTCCTAATTATTATATAAATTTAAAGGATTTAACCATCTCATTACTACACTGTTTACACAAATGTTTAAGTTAAGTCTGTGAGTGTTGTTTCCGGCCATCTTGGCCTAGAGGTGCCATACCATATTGTAAAGTATTTTAATTGCGCAGATGATACATCAAAAACTAGCTAAAATTTGCGCTGTAAATTGGTACGGAAATAGACCCTAGGTGTGCAGAATCGTAACTACTGCATAATACATGGTTACTTATTACAGCTAGGTCAAGGCCTAATTTTTTGCATAATCTGCACAGAAATTGGCCCTTACTTCTTTGAAATGTGCGGACCGATATATTCTCAGCGCAGGCCATATTTTACAATCTGGTATGTCACATGCTAGGTCATCAATATTATCTGGATTCAAATTTGGGTCTTCATTCCAAAAAGTTTAAATAACAGCATTTAGATGATTGAAGCATTAGTTTTAAAATTTATATTTTTTTTAATTTCTTCTTTCAGCAACCGAATCAACAACAGCGCCCTCAGTCAACATGGGACATCATAAAAGGTGTTGCATTTCGAATGTTGATATTTTATTTTGTTATGAGTTTCTTCAGAGGATCATCTAATACTAATGAACCAGCAACATCCAAGGATGGAGTAGCCCCAGTGTCAACTGATGTTGCCAAAACTGCTTTTAATTTATTTCCGCAAGGCACAATTATGGTATGATTTATTATTTAATTATTATTATTATTACAATAATAATAATAATAATAATTATGTCTGACTTAGCGCATATTATTATTATTATTATTATTATATATTTATTATTATTATTTATTTTTATTGTTATAACTATTATTTATTATTGCTTTATTATTTTATTTATTTGACCAGGTATGATTTATATTGATAAATTTTGTTATAATTTTATTACTTACATTTTAGCTTTATGTGTTATTATTGCCCCCATAAAAAAAATAGAGACAATCATAAAATTCATTAACTTGTAGTATCATAAGTACACATTACTGTATCATAATTACCATTGCAGAATGGCATTTGGGCTCTTGACAAATCTATCTATAATAGTATTGTAAATAAATAAAAAGCGAGGTTCAACAGTATTGATTAGATATTTTAGTACTACTTAGTTTTGTAACACACACATGGTGTGACACCCTTCAGATAAAATTGCCTACTGTTGAACCTCGCTTTTTATTTATTTATATCCGCTCTGGTCTACCATTGGGCACTCTGCTTGTAATAATTGCGATAGTTTATTTCAGTTATACGTAGTATTGTAAAAAGAAAACAATTTTACTTTTACTGTGTGTTATTTTTTTCATTTGAACATTCAAATTAGTGTATTTAAAAAATGTTAACCCATAAATTTACCATCATAAAAATAATAGACACTTCAAGTAACTGTTAACTTAAAAGCTTTTGTTTATTTCAGGACATGCGGATCTATATTTCTGAAGATGAAGAGTTTACCAAATTCAATGAGAATAAATACTTGTATTGGGAGCTTTTAGATGTAGAATATGGTGATTGGTACGCTGGGCCTACTGGTGATTCAACTTTCGTCCATTCACAAGAGTTTGAAATTTCAGAGGTAAAATGATTCTAGTTCTTTTATATACAACCAGATTTTATTGTTGTTTTTAAGCTATACACAGTAAGTAAAGCAAAATTAGTATGTTTTGGACTAGTTGAATGACATATTATTTATTACATGTTTTTGTGTACATGGTGCATTTCTTCAGGTTAATTTTAAGCTATAAATTAGAAACAACCAAGGAATCATGTAGTAATAATAATAATAATAATAAAAAGCAGGATTTTAAGTCTGTTTAAAGTCGTTGCACCCTTTCTAATTGTACTAATTAAAACAATGATTTATTTTTATAATTCTATTATTCGTTCCACTGCAGGTTCGAGAACTAATTTACACATTTATGAAAAGGATATAAATTATATTTACTGTAGTTTTGCTTGTAATGCTTTGGTCCTGGGCATAATGAATGCTGCCCTCTGTGTGTTGTTTTGAGTAAAGGTTGGTTGGTTGAATGATCACAGTTGGACTTGAGAATCCCAAGGCACCATGAATATTCATTAGCCTGGAATTTACACATATTTATATTTCCGGAAATATTATTAGAAACTTGTTTGAACTTAGGGATATCCTAATTATAATTGTCTAATAACCTATTTCCTAGCACATTAATCATGTCAAGTATGTAACTATTTCATAAATCATAATTTTATTTCAATACAAAATAAGTGGTATACTATGGACTGTATATTAGGTTTAATGGGCTACTGCATAAAGTTATTTGGTGATTGCTGTGGGTCATAGTATTTTGTCTTTATACTTACCCTGATGGGAAGAGGGGGATGAGATGAGAATAGTAAAAATTGATGCCCCCATTGGAAATGGCTCTCAAAGTCATGCTTTCATGTTAAAACCAAGGTGCCTACTGTCTTAAATATTTATTTATATATGAAGCAGAGGATCCTTGCTGTATTGGAAAACAATTAACCTTTATATGTTACATTTGTTGTAGTATTAACTAATACTATCCTTCCATACACTCAGCTCTTTTCATCAGGGACCTCCATTGGTTGCCAGTAATTAGTAGAATTCATAGTACGGAATTATCATAGTTTGGCTTTTGAACGCTTGACGGTTCTAGAGTACCTACAATATTACGTGCTAACATTTTCTTCATATAAAGAAGACAACGATTTTACCTTGTTATGCTTTTTTTTCAGAATGTAATAAATAATGGGTCAATCTACATACATGTTTATTTCACTAAAAGTGGGTACTCACCAGATCCATCTAGAAAAGGGAAATATGCCAAGAAGTACACAGTTTACCAACGTAAACGTGAGTTTGAAACCCGTGAAATTGTGTTATCCTTTCTGCCATTGTGT